GCTTCGGCTTGCTTATACCTGCGATCTACAGCTGGTGAGTCAGGTTAAGGTGAACCAAACACTAACCAACATTAACTTTATGTCCATGACACAAATTCTGGTCTCCTTCATGAATTAGAGAATTGCTACATACAATAACCACCTGGATCACTTCAATGCTACTCCTTCTGTTGTCAGTGGACCGAAACTGTGAGGTGTGGAACTGTCCTATTTGGTGAGAATTTAACGGATTCTGGACAGACAGATTTTTCAAAGTCAAGCTTCCTACCAGACTGAAAGAGCCATACGTGCTGTGCAGACATCCCTTTAAGCATAATTCCACTGTAGGAGTGGATAAAGTGAACAAACAAAGAGAGAATTTGTTCCACATTTTAGCACAAAAATACCTTTTTTTTTTTAACATCTGTACCTGAGTGTGGGCCGGTTGAATTGGCTGAGGAGGAAGCTGTCATACTAACAACACAAGATCCTGTCTCGGTTCGAGTATTTCACGCTGCTGAGGTCTTGTTTAAAATCAGATTGTGGATTTGGTTTCTCATCTTTTACACTGTAGCTGCACTACACTGCACAGTGACCCACGAACAAGCAACCAGAACCAGAGAACGGGCCCGACTTTAGTCCCAGATGACTTTATGAACCAAGCACGTAAATGTTCTGCAAATCATTCCCGGCTGGCTTTTGTGAATTTCTGCAAAAACGAGCCATTAAATAAAGAATCATTGAAACTCTGCTGTTTCCTGTTTGTCGTGTATCCTTCACACTAAGACACACAACCGCACATGAGAACAGAACAATGCAGAATACAGAAATGGCCTTTAAGATAGAGTTTAGTTGTGACATGTAGCTTTCCTCCTACATCGTATAATCCACGTTTCCATATACGTTTTCTGTGACAGGGATATTTTGGTCCATTTCACATTTCGGCTCCTGAAAAGACAAAATTTGGGTAAAAGCTTTAGTTGCTTCTTAACAGTTCCAGCCTTCTTATCATATGAAAGCTCCTATTAGTGTTGTACCTCAACATTGATGTAAATGGGTTCATCAGGAAGCTCCTTGTCTTTGTTGTCAGATAGCGCTCTGGAAAAAAAAGAAAAAAAACAAACCTGTTTAGATTCTAGTTTTAGAGACAAGTGATCAGAAACGTGTCCTGAATTTCTGAACATATCCGGGAAAAGGATCAACAAACATCTGTACTTTTCAAACATACAAATACATTTTTGAAATGTATGTGAATCAGAAAACAAACCTTTTCGGTGGGTCTGATGACGCTCTGCTAAAGTTTGCATAATATCCAGATTCCTCCCTTGTGAAACTCTGTGACCTGAGAAAACAGGATTATTTCTGGTATGTTGTTTGTATGTGATAACAAAAAGTACCAACAAAAAAAAAAAGCTGTACATTTATTCATTTCATTTCACAGATTTATTTCTGTATTTCTTAAATGCAAAAAAAATATAAACAAAATGATAAAAAATACACAATAAATTTCTATGTCTAATTTGATATGACAACATAAACCTCTAAATGTGAAAAAATACATAAATTAAAATAAGTAAAGGTTTAAGTTTCTGACTTTAAAAATTAGCTAAATTATCAAATATTTCCTGTTCAATTTTAGTGATAAAACCGTACTCTGTTAAATTCAAGTTTAAAATTGGAAATGTATTTCTAAAATTTGTTAAAATTAGTGATCAGACGTGTTGATTGTGCATCATTGCTATTACTATTTTACAAATATAGATATTTTTATTCACTTAACTTTTAGAAAAGCCAAGAAATATGCATAATATAATGTAAACTTAAGGCTACATGAGATTATTTGTATTTTAATTGTGGAAAATGAATGTATTTTCTAAGATTTTTTTTGTTTTTTAACATTTTCTTTGGCCCTGTGTGCAAGAATATTGCTGTTTTGTTTTTTTTTACAGTGTAGAAAATGTAGCCTTATGGACGTTTATATTAAAGCATCTCCAGACATGTTATTAACGTATGAAAATAACCTGCCTTAAATAACTTGTCTCCACACAAAGCTAAATGACTACATTCAGAGCTCTTCACATTACACCATTACTTTCCACACCTCACATTTGGCCTCCAAGTGTCAAACTCTGCACACATATAAGATTCTGCAACGTGACGCTCAAGTGAAGTGTGAGTCACACATTTTTGACAAGCAGGGGAAGTTTACAAATGTCTTCGAATAAAGATAACAGCATATAACAGCTTATAAATAATCAAAATGTGACTGTACCGTTTGTGTCTTATGCAAAAGACAACTCCAGCTACAAGAAGGACGACCACAAGTGCAGTGACTGGTACAGAGATGCCCATGTACAGCAGGTTTGAGGCGTCATTGGGATCTGTGAAGGAATTTTTTTTTTCAGCAAATTAAACTGAATTCCAGACTTTGACATATTAAAGAAAGATCTAAGAAACAAACTTACTTGCTGTGGACATAGTCGGGACAAACGATTGATTTGAGAGTGCTGTTGAAAAAAATGAGATAAAATAAAAAGTTGTGACAGTTTTCATGACGATTACATTTTTACACTGTTTTGTTTTGTTCTTGAATGAAATCAAGGTTTGATCTGTTTTTAGTTGTTTTAGTTACTGGTGGAACATCTGGCCAAACACGCAAAGTATTAATTACATGTTTTTTTGGCATCAAGCAATTTTTTTTTAAATTTTAAGTCATTTTTTGGCCTTTTTTTTTTTTTTTAGATAGGACAGAAAGAAAGATCTGACACTATTCTACGAAACAAACTGTGCAAACTTACTTGCTGTGGATATAGTTGTGGAAAATGGTTGACCTGAGAGCTCTGTTGAAAAAAATTACAAAAATAAAAAGTTGTGACAGTTTTCATGATGATTACATTTTTACACACTGGTGTTTATTTTTATTTTTTTTAAATGAAATAATAAAGGTTTTACCTGTTTTTTTAGTTTTTGAAGGATCACCTGGCCATGTGAATGAAACAGGCAAAGTATCAATTGCATTTTTTTTTTTTTTTTTTTTGGCATCAAGCAAAATTTTGAAATCATAATTCAAAAGTTGGACTGAAATTCTCACCTTTTAGAGAAATAGAGATGGACTGCTTGTTGAAACTGAAGCCTTTGTTCTTTGTAAAAACCCTCATGTATATTTTTGGCACATTCTCCCTGATGTCGAGGATCCTGAGGGAGCAATTTCCTTCGGCTGCATTTCCAACCAGACTGGTTCTATGTCTGTATTTGTCGTCCACACACTCGTCATTCCAGTGGAGAACAAATGCATCAAGGTTATTGTCTTTGTCTGTGCAGTTGTGCCTGCCACTAGTTTTCCAGACAACTTTAATATCTGTAGTGTTTTCTTCGGGGGGAACGGTGAACTTGCAGAGTATGGTTACATCGGAGCCTGGCTCTACTTCATTTTTATCTTTGACAGTGATATTCCAGTCCTGACCTGTGTTCAAAACCAAACCAGAAATTACATTTAAAGTCTTGAAATCTCAATTCAACACAAATGCAACAGCTCGATTTTCCACCTACCGTCTGAATAAGAGGCCAGAATCAACAAGATGAGGCTAAGATCAATCAGCTTCATCTGAGCAAGAAATCCAAATTGTGAGGTGAACACACACACACACACACACACACACACACACACAGTCCTGAACTCTTCGGTTTTACAGCCTGTCAAGCTGCCCACTGACGAGGTAAACGCTTCGTGTGAGAGGAACCCAGAGAAGGTTTTGTGCTTTTGCTGTGCTTTGTCATTGTATGTATGATGTTAACAGTTTTTTTTTTTTTTTTTGGGTGTGTTTCCTGTTGCATGGTCGTGGTGGATTAAAAGAAGTAGAAAAAAAAGGAAGTTGGGAAAGAAAAGTGAACTCTGACCACAGCATAACCCTCTCAGGGTGCATTTTAAAACACATACAGTGTCTCTTAAGCAGCATATGGTGTGGGTTTGTCATATCAAACAACCCTGAGTGGGGCAGTTTTTACACTTCTCTGAAACACTAACAGTTCATCTTTTTTTTTTTTCATTTATTTCACACTTACAGAAGCAGCAACAGCTCAGTGTGAGGTGTTTTTTTTTCTTCTTTTTTTGCAACACTGTGTGGCCAAATCCACCCACTCTACACAAATACTAAACCACATATTTTAAACTAGGAAGACACCTGATCATCACCCCTGCTCAGGTGGCCTACAGGATAAAAGAGATGAACTACAACATCCTTGAATCATGACATATGAGTAAAATGTACAGCCAGGACAGTCTTTGTCACATCCATCCATCCATCATCTATACACCGCTTAATCCTCACTAGGGTCGCAGGGGGGCTGGAGTCTATCCCAGCCGACTTAGGGTGAAGACAGGGGACACCCTGGACAGGTCACCAGTCTATCACAGGGCTACACTTAGAGACAGACAACCAAGCACACTCACATTCACACCTACGGACAATTTAGAATCACCAATTAACCTCAACATGTTTTTGGACTGTGTGGGAGGAAGCCGGAGAACCCGGAGAGAACCCACGCTGCACGGGGAGAACATGCAAACTCCACGCATTAAGATCCCGGTGCCCCCACCGGGACGCGAACCAGCGACTTTCTTGCTGCGAGGCAACAGTGCTACCAACTGCGCCACCCTGCAGCCCTCTTTGTCACATGTTTAGCAAAAAAAAAAAAAAAAAGTGGGAATATCACCATGTTGTTCAGTAATTGTACTCATTTATGGGTATATGGGATATAACTGATATTTAAAAATTATAATAGTTAAGTAATTCTTTCAGTGATTCTACCAGTTGTTTTTTTTTTTTATTGTGATATTTCAGAAAATACAATAATTATGAATCGCTATGGCGACTCAGACGCACATCAGATGTCAAACATTGCACTAAGCGCTATAAAGTAAATATACTGGTGGTACGAACAAGGAAGTGACCAAATATTGCATCATCCAAGACCAGGTGTGTCACAACCTGAGCACCACCAGAAGTTCAATAAAAGGCTTGTCAGCGCTGCCAACTGTTTTGTTCAGCGTTTTTGTAATTTCATATACGAGCACTGATTAACCCTCTGAGCCCCAAGTAGTTCCTGGGCTTTTTTTTTTTTTTTTTTGCTCCTGTGGCATTTTTACTAACTGTGGGCTTATTTTTCTCTGAAATATAAAGTCCTGCACCTGTATGTAAACAGCACAATAAAGGCTAAAATGAGAAAGAATTGAAACTGTCAAAAATTCTTCTTTTACTTCTTCTTTTCTTGCAATAGTCACTTTACAAGAACCAAAAAAAAGCTGGAATCAGGATGTACCACTTTTTTTTCTAAGTGCTCGCACATGCTACCAATACTGGAAAAAATGGTGGTTCTACATGCTATAGATATTTATATACTTCCATTTTTACAAACTATACAAACGAGGTGTTTTTCACACCCCTCTGCACATCACAACCTCAACTGGAGAAAGACATTTCACCGTACTGACTTTAACTTACAGCCAACAGCTGACAGCGTGCTCCTTCGAATGCTGTTTTTGAGCCATGCTGCTTTTATTATTATTGCACAAGTATGTTTTATTGTCCATAAGTGGTACCAATATTGGGGGAAATGGTGGTTTTAAATACCGGCCGTATTTGAGTTGTTATATTTTTAATTTATGGTCATGCTTATCTCCTCTCTGCTCTGTGAAAACATGACTGTTGGTTGCACCGAGGAGTGTTGTTACAGAATCTGATTAAAGCAATTGGTTTATTTTTTTACTTTTTTTTTTTTTTTAGAATTTAGTGATTTTGATGAAATATCTCAATTTTACGCTTTGATTCGATTCATTTTCCTGCCCACGCCACACACGCTTAGTTCAATGACTGTCTGAAAGTTGAAAATCAAACAATCCCTTGTGTTTTTATAGTTTCTGGCGTCATTCTGGTGACTATTTTAAAGCCCGCAAGCAGGTTTTGGGTGTCAGAGGGTAAATAAATCAATTTTGTGTCTCAACTGAAGGATAAGTTTGCTTTTTTCAAGACTGAACCTAATACAATGTGTAACCTGTTAGTAGCATGTTTGGTTGTTGTAGTTGTTGCTCCGCACTGCTTTCAATACTAATAACTAAATGGATGAAATGAATACGATGCTGCAACAGGCTGGTGGAGACAAATCAGTATTTCATCTTTGTGTCTTTTCAGAAACAGCCTGCAAGACAGCAACACAATCAGTCTAACTAGCAACAGCTGAACCTCACAATGAATAATTAAACCATTTATACCAACCAATAGGAGGGAAAAACGCTGAAAAAACCCTTCCAGTGTGCACATAGGTACTTGAGTAATGTAAAACATACAATGATAAATCAAAACCTGAGTCGAACTCCTTCTTACTCAGTGTTGTTATAGACTATATTTTGGTACTTTGTGTTAATATTCTGTATAACAAATGCCACCTTCTGTCAGTTCACCTTCAGTTGGAACTTGTAAAGTGCTTGACCAGTGACCTAGGAGTTATATTCAGTTAATTATGTGGGTCTATTCATATTTAGTTTTGCTTTATATTTTGCTCTTCCTTGTGCTCTGCAATTTAATGACTATCCCTGTCCACATAAGCACAAGCAAGCAAACTTTTCTAACTTTATTTGAACAGACTGGATAGGTCACCAACATATTTATCTAGCCCAAGTTATATTTAATCAGAAAAAAAAACACATGGCTAACGAGTAGCTAACAATTACATCTTCTCTGCAGGGGTGAAGTCAAGTGATGACGCAAGCAATAGTTTTGGGTTTTTTCAGGAAACCATTACTTTGTGGCTGCTGTTCCCACATGAATGCATTTTACCAGAATAACCCCACCCCATTCAATCACATGCAACCAAATCGCTTCCTCCAACCACACAGCATTTACACTGGTTTTGTACCAGCTGAAAGATTTTGTATTACGGTCATCGAAATGTCCGTAGACGTAAGAAAATGCACATTGAATCTGTTGAATTTAGTTGGGGCTGCAAGGTGGAGCAGTGGTTAGCACTGTTGCCTCGCAGCAATAAGGTTGCTGGTTCGTGTCCCGGTGGAGGCACCGGAATCTTTCTGCGTGGAGTTTCCATGTTCTCCCCGTGCAGCGTGGGTTCTCTCCAGGTTCTCCGGCTTCCTCCCACACAGTCCAAAAACATGTTGAGGTTAATTGGTGATTCTAAATTGTCCGTAGGTGTGAATGTGAGTGTGCTTGGTTGTCTGTCTCTAAGTGTAGCCCTGTGATGACCCCTGCCTTCGCCCTAAGTCGGCTGGGTTAGGCTCCAGCCCCCCCACAACCCTAGTGAGGATTAAGCGGTGTATAGATAATGGATGGGATGGGATGAATTTAGTTGAAGGTCTTTGCACAGTTTCTTAAAAACTGTAGGGATCGAACCGGTTTTGAAGAGTTCAAAAGGGTACAAACTGCTGAACAATGAAAGAAATGCAAAACTGAGCCAGAACCTGCAGCCAAAAGAAAGAAACTTGATGGACACAGTGTGATGTCTCAACTCAGTCCTGAGCCCAACAGCACTTGAATGTGTCAACGGGACAGTTTTAAAATGCAATTATTTTTTAAGATTTAACAAGAAAAGAAAAAAGACACAAGAAAAGAAAGTAAAACAAGGACTTAAGAAATCTTTCCAGATTTTTAACCAATTCAAGGTTGCTACACGTATGGCTTCTCATGTACTTCTAAATGGTAGTTCTGCCTGCAAATGATCAGAGTAAGCGACCAAATCAACGACTATTTGACCTACATATTTACTAAGGAGGAAAAAAGTCTTTCCACTCCAGTTGTTTGGCTCCGCCTACACTTTAATTCAAGTAATGAAAAACCTCGTCTGATTGATTTGTTCTGGAGCACAAGTTCATCAACTTGATGTTGTTAAATAACTCCACTAGATGGCGTGAGACGTGCTCCGAAAAACACTCAACTTTGGCACTTGAGTTTGGACTCCACCTGGAATGTGGGTCAAACTGGGATCTCCAAGGTGCAGTCATATGACTCCCAGAAGGCCGAACGAGAGTCCACAGAGCTGGAAATGGTTTCCTGAAAGCTAATTCAGCGAAGGTTTGGTGATGTGGACCGACTAGGAATCAGTCTCGCCTGATTTCAGCTGTGGAATGCACTCTGGGGAAATGCGTTTTGGGAAGAGACGCGTTGTTTATTACGCATTTGGATACAACGGGACGATGTGACGCTTCTGTTGGTATTCTGGATGCGTAACTTTTCTTCACGTGTGCGCGGTGTGGTCGCGAAAACTCACATGGCAGATCTAGATAACAGGAATCCACGGCGGGCAGCGGGAGAGGAGACGAGCTCCGGCCGCCGTCAGAGGAGGGTAGCAGCGGTCAGCGCTCCGGCTCTGTGCGCCGCGCGTCTCACCCTACCTGGAGTCATGGACGCAGAGGGGAGGGTCGACGAGTCCAGACTGAGGATGCACATCTTCAAAAACGGTCTGTCTGTCTAAAAGAAAAAAAAATATCCATTTTAAGGCTGCATTTGGTCACAGGTCTGCAAATTCTAAGATTCAAACACTTCAGAATGGTGCATCCTGGTGGATTTTACGCATCGGTTTTGATTTGCTGCCTTAATGCATGGTGCAGTTGTGGAAGGCACTAAAGTCAGGCACAATGTGTAAAAGCTATAGTGGCTTCACATGTTTTTGTTGGAGGGACATGTTTTAAAAATGTACACCTATATTCTGATACACCCAAAGTGCATGCAATTGTAGCATGAATTGCTGCAAGGACAATCACCTTTCATGGTAAACTATAACATTTAAAAGAAGTTACATGATTTGCACCTGAATGATTGCTTGCAAGTTTAAATGTCTACAGTATGGAAAACTTCATTTCCATTCATGCAGAGTGATGAAACGTGTTTTATTCACGTAAAAGTAAGTTCTGCATTTAAATTTTAATAAAATAAAAAAAATGTGAACATAATCAGTGAAGAAGAAAGCCATTTTCTTTTATTTTGATGGTCAAAGACCCCTGAATTCATTCCCTGTTGCCATGTGTTTTCCCATCACCTTTTGTCATGTGTTTTCCCACCTCCTGTCACAGGCACCCGATTCCACCCCCTGTTGTTCATTGTCCCCTTACCTCCTGCCATTTGATTAGCAACTGTATGCTGTCAGAGCCCCAACTCCACCACCCGTGTGGTCACCAGACCCCGATTTCATCACCTGTGGTTCATTGCCCCCCCTTACCTCCGGTCACTTGACTAAGCAACTGTATGTTAATTTACCTTTATTCACCTCTGTATTTACATACAGCGCGCCCCTTACCCTCTGACTTACCCTATAAATGTGTGACTCTGCAGATGTTCAGGGTCGGTCCACCTTCACAGACTCATGCTCTGTGTTGGTGAGCCCACCGTATACCGGAATACTAACAAACACCCACTACAGCAAACTTCACATGAGGACTATGAGTAAAATTTCTTCAACATCAGCAACAAAATATCAGAAGTCAAAGTACTCATTTTGCAGTGAATTGAATCCTGACAGCGTTAGTGTTACTGTGAGATTTTATGTTTGTAATATTACTGCTAGAATAATGTGGATATGTTGAATTTTACTGCTGTAGCTTCTTAAGGTGGAGCTCATTTTAACTCCTTCATCCACCGTTGGATAGTCTCATCTACAGCAATGCATCGTATTCTTTAAGATCATCGTATGTTCTCAGCTTTTCATCAGCTCACAAAAGCATTCATATTTGTGGTGATGCATCATCTCATCAGTTTATTTTGCCGAGAAAGTAGACGAATGTTTCAGTTTGTCGCAAACATTGAAAATCACCACTTGGTGCAGCGAGCGGTTTCCACAGGAGGTGATGAATATTTGCAACCTGAAAAGCAACTAAAGCTGCCAGTAAAAGTACAATGTTTGCATGTGAGATGTAGTGGAGGAGAAGCCAAAAGTTGCATAAAATGGGGAAAAAAGTGCAAGTTTGAATTGTTACTTAATACTTGAGCAGATGTATTTGGCTCCATTTCACTACTATTCATGCAGTTTTGCAGGAAACATGAGGTAATTGTCAGTGATTTAACTTAATACCTCAAAGACTAATGATTTCGAGGTCACAGCAGGGCAAAAAGAAATCATAACTGATCCCTTAATGACCATTAGGAAATATAAAGTCTTTACTAATCCAGTAAGTTTCATAGTTTGAAGGGTTGTTTTGCCATTCTGTATCGATACAGTATTCAGCAGTCATGGTGAGGCCTAAGACTGAGAGGATTACTTCTGTCAATTCCTGTTTGCATGAGAACATTTTAATTTTTATGCGTTAGGAAATCTAATTAGATCTCCAGAACTTAATATTAAACATGTGGCTGTAGCACCAAGGAGGCTATTCCCGTGTCATTTTAGCGCTGTTCTGCTGTGCTGTAGGATTTTTTTTTTTTAGGGCCAAATGTGTCCAGATGCATCACAGAATCGACCCCATCGACATCCGACCACGATTGAGTCAAGTGATGCTTTGCTTCAGGACGTCAGCTGAGTCACAGTCAAACTCTTCTGTAAAAAAAAAAAAAATCAAACATTTCATTGTACGTCGGGCCTCCCTGGAGCAAAGAAGTGCAGCGTGACTACACAGACATCATTTAGAGACGAGAGCAACAAGAATAAAATCACATGAGATTCAACAGACAAAAAAAACACTCAGCGAAGTGTGTGAGGATTAGTGTTCAGGCAATGGTTTCAATGTTGTAAGACACCATTGTTGGTTTCCTCAAGTAAAACATCACATTTAGTCCGTCATCTGTGAGCAGGAATGTGGAAGCTCACCCTCCTTTTTCTGACCTTTGTGCGCATTCCTTCCCTACAAAACATGGAAAACAAAGATTAAAGAAACCTGTGGAGCGAGACGTTATGTAAGACATCTCAAATCCCCCATCACAAAATCCGGCTAATGGAGGGGAAAGGTCACATTTTGCATTTTTGCATTCGGGTCTTGTTTTAGTTTGGTGGTGTGACTGAATGATCAGGGCTCACTTGACTTCTCAGCTTGACAAATAGGTGATCCAACTCCTTTTATTCAATTAAGACTTTGAACCAAGGTGAAGGCAGATGTCTCTCCCAATGAAAAATGATTCCTTTATTAAAACTTGGTTAGATTACCGTCATTCTCTGTATGCAGATGTAGAGCAGTCGTCTTTTCAGCGTCTGTAGCTGCTAAAAATGCATTTGTCCCTCTTCTGACAGGAAAAGCAAAGTGTGATCACATAACACCAGTTTTGGCCTCCGTCCTCTGGCTTTCTGTCCATTTAAGATGTTTATTTAATGTTTGGAATGGTTTGGATGCGACCTGATTTAGCAGAACTCTTTCATCTTCATTCTTCAGTTAGAGGTCGAGCAGCCAGATGCTCTGGGATGTTCTGAGATGCACAGAAATAGAGGTGGTTGAGCTTTTACGGTGGCTCCTAATCTCTGCAACACTTTCCCTTTTATAGTAAGAACTGCTCAGACTATAGAAACTTTAAAGCTTCTGCTCAAAACCCATTTCTTGACTCCCTGACATGAGCATTTGTTGTGTTCTAACTCTTTATTCTAATAACTTTCATGTCTTCTTGTATTTATTCTCATTACTGTGGTTTATTGCCTGCAGCGCTTTGGTTCAACTCTTATAGTTTTTTAACATGCTTCATGTGTTTTTTAAAGATCAATTTTTCTTTTTCCCATTACTGCAGAGAGACAGGAAATGTAGGGAGAGCAACATATCCTGCCATGGATCAGACTTGATCTACAGCCACTAGATCGGAGACCTAAGCTCCTGTTCATGGGTCGCCTGGTCAACCGATTGAGCTACTGGGCGACTCAAATGTGCTTTATTAATATATATTTGACTCTGATTTCGCTCTTTATTCCCCGTCCAGGCGGCGTGCCTCCCTCTGAGCGCGGCCTGGCTTGGCGTTTTCTCTTCGGGATGTACCCGTGCAGCTCGACGCCTTCAGAGCGCTCTCTGCTGCAGGAGCAGATGGTCGTACGTTACCGGGTCATGAAGAGAAAGTGGCAGCAGTTTCTTCCATCAGCCGTACGGATGCACCTCAACGGCACTGACGGTAACATCCACAAACATGCCAAATCTTTCATTTGTTTCGTTTTTTTTTTGTGTGTGTGTGTGTTTCTTTCCTTTTTGACTGCCCAGCTTTCTGTTTTGTTTTTTATTTCTATGCTCATGTGATCCAGCTGAGTTGGTGGCAGCCGTCAGGTACTTCGACCAGAGGCAGGTTCAGGTCCAGCAGCAGACCCGCTACCATTGTGAGGAGGTCTGGGACAGGCAGGCTTTCTTGAAGCTTCAAGCACAGGTTAGACCCATTAAATCTATTTATTAGAATCTATATCTGTTCTATGTTACATGTGTCTTTCTATTCAATCATTTCCAGACCTGGATGTGTTCGATTTCTTTATTTATATTTAAACCTTCCCAAAAGATCAGTTTTGTAAAGTAGGAGGAGTGGAGTATGTTTGGGGAAATGACACAGCCGGATCTAATTTGGTTAAACAAACAGTTTGTCCGTCATTTACTTATCATCAGTTGGCCTTTACGCACTGGCTAAAGTGTTAAACCACCTAAATCATCGCAACTTGGCTGAAAGTTTGACAAAGGAAGGGCAGCTACACAGGAGTTGTAACTAAAAATAAGTTCATTTTACGAAAGAAATTAAACAAAGTACATTCAAAACATAACCAAACAAGGTGGACACCAGAGGAAAGAGAGCAAGAGAGAGAGAGAGACTGGCCGACTGCCAACACAATATGAGCTTAATCCGGGCGACTCCTGCAGGGATTAGTCTTCCCAGAGAGTCGTCACACCCCTTCTCATAAAAGAAAAGGCGGTTCTGCCAATAAACACTGGCACTGAGACTGCGTACGTTAAATCACAGCTGAAACTGGCACCGCACACTAAAGCCACCTCGTTCGTAGACCTAATAAGGTTGATACATGCAAAACACAAATCCCACCAATCCCACACACAGCATTCACAGCCATAACCATTCCTCCAACTCGCTCAAACATCTGCAACGTTGGTGCCAGAGATCTTTAATCAGAATTATACTGGATATAAGCAGCGATAACCAGCAAAGCAAACGATACACAAGATAACTGTGAGTAACAGGATCAACGTCCAGAGTCCACAACATTTAAAACAATACAGCGCCTATAAAACCCCTTTGAAATTTTCTGCTATTATTGCAGTGAGTAAAGTCATAACCTAGACCTCAGTCCAAATGAAAACTTATGGCTGGCCTATTCACTGATGATACCTGGCAACCTGAAAAAGCTTGAGTAGTTGTGCAAAGAATAATTGAGAGTCCAGATGTGAAAGCTTGATTGAGGGGTGTGCAGGAAGGGGGTGAATACTTGCAGGTGGTAGAGTGGTTGTCCTCTGATCGTCAGGCTGGCGGTTCGATCCCTGGTCTCTCCACGGTCAAAGTGTCCTCGAGCAAGACACTAAACTGGAATTTGGCAGCTCTGTTGCCACTGGTGTGTGAATGGGTGAATGAGAAACACATTGTAAAGCGCTTTGGGTAGAAAAACGCTGTATAAGTGCAGACCATTTATGCAACCGCTTATTTTACATTTAATTCTAATTAATTGACATGACTTGTAGAAATCAGGTTTAACTTTGACGTGAAAGTGTCTTTTACTTTCTATTAAATTCACAGTGATTCAGTGTTGAAAAGCAATAAATGCTCTATGTGTCGGATCAGTGTCTGCACTGAGACCCTATCCCTGCCTATATGACACTAATGAGGCAGGTAACTTACTGTCAAACAAACCTAATTTCACAACTTTGCAGTACTGAATCCTAGAAAACCCAAACGTAGCCCACACCATCAAACTGGACTCTCCCCAAATTTGGCCTGACAAACACACTGCTAACTACAAAAGCTCAATTCTTTAGTCTTTAGGCAGCAACTAATGGGAGGTACCGGTTGGTGCAGAAACTCCCTGCTATGCAGTTATCTCCAGATAATCATGGATGTGATCCCAAACACATATGTCCCTCTACCTATTTTCACAGCCTCTTAAGGATGAGGGTTCAGCCAGCTCACAGTCAGATCCTGGTATCAAACCTATTCAGGGAAATAACTCAACAGACACCTGGAACCAAAACAGTTAAATTCAACTAAACAGCAGCGTAACAGGATTACAATATTGCTCTCCGCTCAGATGAAAGCTACACTGCACTTACCAACAGCTTTCAGGAAGTGAAACGTCCCTTGTAGCTTTTCTAAATTAGCAAAAGATAGAAAAAGTTACTGTTCATGCATTCATCTTATCATTTCAAGTGCGAGAACACGGTGCAATTCAAATAAGTGGCATATATTTAAATGTATGGACTCTGTCTAATTGACAGTATATGTCTCTATGTTTTCTTCCGTTTAACAGATTTTATTTGAGCGGGTCACATTTGACCACGAGGAACTGCAGGAAGCCATACGAATCATTGACAAGGATGTTCCCCGAACCAACAGAGACCTGAGCTATTACCAGTGAGTTAACATCAGCTGCTGTTGTTTTGTGCATTTCTTTAAAATGCGGGTCAACAGAAGGTCTGTGGAATTTCATTGCAGCCTCTTGAAATGAAGTTTGTCGGAGTAAAAATCCAGACATTTAGTTTAAATCTCCGAACCCCAAATCCATCAGGCAGGTTTGAAAAGCATGCCATCTTTAAAAAAAATAATCACCAAAATTACAACATTTATCATCAACAGAAACTATATAAACAGAAAAAAAACCCCATCAAATCTTCATCATTGCTGTGGCCCTTGAATTATTTGTGCAAAAGATGCAGTTCCATCTGAAAAACAACCAAATCTAAGCCAGAAACAGACTATTCCTCAGCACAGTTGAGAAGCCATTAATAGCTCCGCTGTGGTGTGAAAGCTTGAGTAATGCCTGTAAACTGGTGTCATGTGGAAAAAACAAGATTCAAGATTTAAGATTAGCTTTATTGTCCCAGGTGTGGGAAATTTGTCTCGGGCTGTTTCACCCATGCTGCAGCCAACACAAGCAGACCCAAACAGTTAACAGATAGAATAAATAAATATATGCATACATCAAGTAGAAGCAGAATAAAATGAATATCATAGTCTAGTTTCATTAGACATGTCACTTTAAATAAAAATAAAAATAAAAATAAAAATAGAGCTATTTTACTTATTAATTAGCCTAATGGAAGCCGGAACAAATGCATTTTTAAACCTGTTCAGTTCAAGGTAGCCACTCTGAGTACAGAGTGTGTGAAGGGTCACTCAAAAACCTCTGAAATATTACTTGGACTTCAAAGCAGTTCTGCCTTTAGGCGGTTTCACAAGCAAAAACATTGCATCCTTTAATTTCTTCGTGACTATAGAGGCTTTATAAAGCATGAAACTACACATATTGCACATCAAATAACTGGTGTTGTAACTAATTCTGCTTTTTCTTTTCACCACACTAATAGTCTATGTGTGCCTGCAGGGATGAAGGTTTGGGCAATCTGTTGGTGTTGAGAGACATCCTCATCACTTATGCTGCTTTTCATCCAGGTAAAGAGCCAGACTGAGGCCATCTCAGGTTTATTAACTCTGATTAGATCAGACAGGCTCAGAGGTTGTTTGTTTTGCCACCAGAGACGCTAACTGCTCCTTTCTGCAATCGCCTGTCTTGACTGTTAAACCCAGAGGTCACCTACGCTCAGGGAATGAACGACCTGTGCAGCCGCTTCCTGGAGGTTCTCGACTCGGAGGTGGACACTTTCTGGAGTTTTTCCTGCTACATGGAGAAATTCTCCCGAGACTTCAGGGCTGATGGTCTTCACAGAAAAATAGGTGGGAATACCAAAAAGAAATGCCCTTTGAGAAACATACAGCCTTCTGTTAGAGCCACATGTTTCACATTTTGACTCGGTCCAAAGTACCTGCTGGTATTTTCTGCGCCCCAGTTTTTGTAAAGTTCTATATAATATAAATCAAGTGACAATCCTGCCTGTGCTGATGCAGTATGACCAGCTTGTATGAGATTTTTTTAGATGAAACTTCAGCAGCTTTACTTCATTAATGACCTCCAGTGTCTCCGTACACAGCTCTTTCAATTTCAGCTAATATTTTTGGTTCAACCTACAAATTGTGTTGTTGTTCTTCAGCACCTGTTTGTTGTGAATGTTATTCAGGCACTGGGCAGCACCTGTGAAAAATCCTTTTTTTTTTTAATTAGAAAATTTATAAGGAATGTGTTTGTTTTTTTTAATTATTATTGACTAATACAGAAAATATAAAATAATAAATGCTTTAATGAAACATCCAAAGTGCCTAAAACTTTTGCACTGTAAAGCATGTCATTGTTAAAGATTTAGGACCTCTAGTGGTAAAATAAAGACACTGAAAACTTGGTCCAGGTGATTTGTGAAAAAGGATTTTTTTGTAAAAGCACGCAACTTGGTACACTCGTACCAGCGTCATCAAATCTCCTGAACCAAACAACAGAAAAGAGGAAGTCAGTTTATATGTTGTAATGGTCAATGACTGTGATGATACCACATCAGCAAAATAAACTCATCACATGCAAAGTATTTAAAGACGTGAGAAGGAAATCACGTATGCATACATGCTGTGTAAAGGTCAAAAAGCTCCTTTTGTCCTGAGAAAACACTGATTGCAAAGATGAGCACGATATTCAATATGACTTTTAAAGATGCTTTTTTTTATTTTTATTTTTTGCATCTGAGTATTTTCTGAGCTAAAAAGTTTAAAGATCATTAAGTTTAACGGCCAGATATCACTTTTTCTGTTTCTATGTTCATTTCTGAAAAAGTCAATGACCCCAAACTGTACAACCAGGTTTCCTGCTTTCATGAAAAATTTCAGCTAAAAAAAAAAAAACACCTGGACTAACTTATTTCCACAACCGGAGAAGTTTGATTGTAGGTCAGACAAAAGAACACACGTAGGTCTGAAATTAAACTGATTAAAGATCTGTCCAGAACAAAAGTTTTGTCTATCGATTAGCTTAGTCTAAGCATATGTTGTGTTTAACGTCTTTCAGAGCTGGAGGCAGCTCTGCTGAAGGAACTGGACCCTCTGCTTTATACTCATTTGGTCAAAGACAGCATGGAGAGCCTCGCATTCTGCCACAGGTACATCTGTGCAGATCAGATTACGCTGTCTATTTGTTCTCTATATCTAAATACGGCTTCATTTTTCCACATGCACCTTTTCTTTATGTTTATGTATGTGTTTTTTTGTCCTTTAAGGTGGCTACTGCTGGGCTTCCAAAGGGAGTTCGAACACAGCGATGCACTGCGTTTGTTTGAGATCCTGAGCTGCGACCACCTGGCGCTCATCTCCCAGCAGGTCGACCGAGCGCGATACCAGGAGAGACTGACACGGAAATACAGCTCAGGTGAGCCCAGAAGGAAAGGTGGGGGGAAAAAAATGAAAAAAAGTTACCTCGATGAAATATCTTACAGTGATTTATCTTTGCTTTGTGATGCTTCCAGAAGAAGATTCAGAGTCAGAGCTGCAGGCTGTCAACACTGACTTCACCTTTGAGCTCTTTATTTGTGCAGCCATCCTGCTAGAAAACAGAGAGGCGCTAATGCGGTGCCGAGATGACGTCCAGCTCATCCAGTTTGCCAGCAGGTTTGTTTTTTATGCAAAGATATTAAAAAAAACAATCCCAAAACAAATAAAAACTTGTGCATGTGTGTATCTGTGTGAATGCATTTGTGTCGTGTGCAGCCTGCAGGGAACACTGGACCTGAACAGCACGCTGAAGAACGCAGAGTATCATTTCTACAACTACTGCAAGCGCTGTGCTTGGGATTATATGAATGGACGCTGCAGAGTATACAGGAGCAAGAACGAGGACTTCTTCTATCAACTCCGCAGTTTATTTGTTTTAAAATGATGGCTGTTATTTAAATACCTGATCTCACAAACTGTAATTTTATAGCTGAGGACATGTAATCCCCATTTGCAGTCTTGAGCACACTGTCTTACTTTGTATTTCTGAGGGAAACACACTGATGGCTGCTTTTTTTTTTTTTAAACATGTCTGCTGTTGTACAGTATTTATTATATGAAAGTTGACCAACTGTGAGTCATTTTGTTTGCTCTCCTGAACTGCCACGAACATGGAAAGCTGAAGCCTAATATTTCATTACCTCAGAATAAGAGCTTTAGCTGATGTTTTTTTTTTTCCAGGTTGTGCAATATTCAGCTGCTGGCAGTGTGTAAATACTATGATGTGGAGTGTCGCAACAGGTGCTGCCTGTAACGTTCTGCAGTTATATTTAATGCCGGGTGGGCGTCAGTGAGGCCTATGTAACAGGAATAGATGAGCTCTGGCAGAGGGACCACGCACTACTGTGTCTTAAACAGAGAATGAAACACATTTACAATATTAATTGCATAAAAATAAAACCACTGGAAGATTATTTATTAGGTGTTGTTGGTAATATTCATGTTTGTCTTTATATTTTATGGCTTAAGTAATTTTAAGTATCGCCTATGCTTTGAGTAAAAGACCATCGTTTTATTCATCAGTGCCTGCAGAGAAAAGTTCAAACTGAAATTAAAATAGCAAGACCATTGGAACTTGCAATTTAGGAATGCAAAGTTACTCAGAGAAGCACTGCCTCTGACTTTCTGGAGCAAAAGGTACAGAAAAGTGGTTTTTGTGACCTCAAGAAATTAGTTTCTAGACACATTCATGACATGGATTCTATTCCATTGACAGTAAAATGTTGTTTCTAAGTCGTTTACTGTCATACAAACAGGAGATGTTCTAAACAGACCACAAAGCAGAGCAGTGCTACCAATCTCTAAAGTCAGTTAATAATGGGAACTTCTAACTGAACAAAGTTATAGTTCAGAGATTTTTCACAATGGAGAAAAAAACAAACGGATTTTGGTCCTGACAGTCTGAGCAATAGAGCATGTGAACAACAGTATTCAGGAACTACTTTTTCATGTCAGAGCAACACTCACATCAGCAATAATAAAACAGTTTCCTGCTAAATCAAACACCCAAGCCGTGACACATTCATTTTCTCTTGTCGTCGTGTTTTGTTCTGTTCCTCTAACGGATTGCTGCAGAGATAAGAATAGCAATCTTTCTCTCAAGGAACTCTAGTCAGTGTGAAGAAACGTGGCCCTAGAACTTTCCCTGGTGGAGTCACCTGACACCCTGATCGGGCTCTCCCTGCACAGAGCTCTATATACGCTGGGGAGCACAGACACTCGCCCTCTTGGTCTGCCTGCTAGGAGAAGGAAAGGAGTGCTGGAGAGGAGCTCAGACGGTGCTGGGCGAAAAGAAAGCATCACTTAAACTCAGTAAACTCTCAAGTCTCGAACATCTAACAGCGCAAGGTAACCTTGTGAATAGGAAGTGTTGCACTCTGGCCTGGCTTCATAGTCTGTCTTGCTTACCGCTTTGAAAGCCTAATTCCCAACAGTGAGGAGTTCCCTGCATGGTTTCTGTTGGCATGACAAACCTGAAGCCCTATGAAAAACTGCAAAGTCTAGCAACTATCCAGCATGTCACTTTGGATGACTTCAATGATTCATTTACATGGTAAAAACCGGCAAGTTTCAGATGTGGATGTAGCACGAAAAAGCACTATGTCAGGATTCTTTCTTCTCTGTGTTACACAACTGGATAACGAATGAGAATTCAATAACATGCTCTGGCTGCAGCAGTTTTGCAACACGAAAGGAAGAAAGTCTCACCCTCATCTCAGTTGTTTTTTGCTCTGAGATTCAGTGGAATTCTTCTCTGTTTCTAGAAATTACCCAATGCCACCCTCAGCCTGATGGTTTCGTCAGAGCACACCCTCAAGAGCTGTGACAACAAAAGCCTTTTGTTGAGCTCTTCACTAATCAAATACGTTTGTTATTTAGTCTCGCAGCTGCAGATTTCTGTGGCTATTTTTGTTTTTTTTAAGTCCTTTGTTTTAAAAGGAAACAGGCAAGTTTTGCTCAAGACTGGCTGATAAATGATCCCTGAATTTTAAGCCACCTTCCATTCATCGCCACGCAGATATGCTGATACTTAATATAGTAACTGTTAGCTATTTGGAGGCAGCTGTTGGAAAAAATAGACACCCTGATCACTATTGCAGGATCAGTAGCCTACATCACATTTAAAAGGCCTGACTGAGACACTCTAATGTTATGTTGAGGGAGGAGAGAAGCTGAGTGGACGGGGAATTAAAGGACGCTGAGACATAGTCCAGTCATTTGGTTTCCAGTGTCAGGAGGCGGTTTGAGCCTCTATAACATGGACGGCAACACGTGGCTGTGCATCTGGGCTTGTGTAAATAACTGTGAAAGGTACACCCTCTGAAATGCTTACATGACATATATGGCTGTACATAGCAGGCAGGTGCATGCACATTTACAAGCTACAAATAAACACATTTTTAAAAGTCCAAGCACAAAAAAAAATGACTACAAAGAAAAAAAAATAGCAGTCCTTTCTTTGGTAATCATGAATTTGTGAATCAGAGTCAGATTACATTCCCAAATAAAAATGAGCTACAAGTCCTAACATGCCTCTTTTCTTGATTCTAAGATGTCTAAAGGGCCAGCAGTAGGTATTGATCTGGGAACCACATATTCCTGTGTGGGCATCTTCCAACATGGCAAAGTGGAGATCATTGCCAACGACCAGGGAAACAGGACCACGCCTAGCTACGTGGCCTTCACAGACACGGAGAGACTTATTGGAGATGCTGCCAAGAACCAGGTGGCCATGAACCCAGCCAACACTGTCTTTGGTAAAAAGAAAATCAAACAAAACTGCATCATCCCTTGCAATCAAAAAATAACTGTTCTCCTCAGTTCATTGACATCTAATCCTGTGGAAGATGAAAAGGTTAACTATTTAAAAGTGTATAGACTGTGAACTAAACTAAACAGCATCATGCATTTTCTCTTAAATCTACTCCAGATGCTAAGCGCCTGATTGGTCGCAAGTTCGACGATGCCGTGGTGCAATCTGACATGAAGCACTGGCCTTTCAAGGTTGTGAATGACTCAACCAAACCCAAGATGGAGGTGGAATACAAGGGTGAGATCAAGACCTTCTTCCCTGAGGAGATTTCCTCAATGGTCCTCACCAAAATGAAGGAGATCTCTGAAGCATATCTTGGCAAGGTAGATAACAGTAAATGTCTAACATTATGCATGAAATGGTGCGGGAGAGTTTGTTTTTATGGCAGTTAAAGGGTGGCAGTGATGTTCTGCAGCTGTCAGGAAACACTACTTAGTACTTTTTTTTTTTAGCTGTTTCCCTTTACCTATAATGTCATACCAAGTAAAATTACATCGTAAGAAAAAGTCTCCTTAAAGCTTTTCATGTTTGTGGTAGAATAATGTGAACAAACTGTTGACTTGTGTTCTCACCATCTTTACAGCCTGTGAACAATGCAGTCATCACTGTTCCTGCTTACTTCAATGACTCCCAGCGTCAAGCCACCAAAGATGCTGGTGCCATCTCTGGGCTGAATGTGCTGCGCATCATCAATGAGCCTACTGCTGCAGCCATTGCTTATGGCCTGGACAAAAAGGTAGTTAAACACTAAAATGCTAAGCTTGTCATATGCTGTACTTCACTTAGTAATCCGTAATGTTTATTTCAGGTTGGCGGTGAGCGCAATGTCCTTATCTTTGACCTCGGAGGTGGTACTTTTGATGTGTCAATCCTGACTATTGAGGATGGCATCTTTGAGGTCAAGTCCACGGCCGGTGACACGCACTTGGGCGGTGAGGACTTTGACAACCGCATGGTCAACCACTTCATTGCTGAGTTCAAGCGCAAGTTCAAGAAGGAAATCATCAACAACAAGCGAGCTGTGCGTCGCCTGCGCACGGCATGCGAACGTGCCAAGCGCACCCTCTCCAGCAGCACTCAGGCCAGCATTGAGATCGATTCACTCTTCGAAGGTACAGATTTCTACACTTCCATCACCAGGGCCCGCTTTGAAGAGCTCAATGCAGACTTGTTCCGTGGAACCCTGGAGCCTGTGGAGAAGGCCCTGAGGGACGCCAAGATGGACAAGGCCCAGATCCATGACATTGTCCTGGTGGGTGGCTCCACACGCATCCCCAAGATTCAGAAGCTACTGCAGGACTTCTTCAATGGTCGTGATCTCAACAAGAGCATCAACCCTGATGAGGCTGTGGCCTATGGTGCAGGTGGGTCTCTACTGCAGCTAGGATGAACTTATTCCATATTTGTAAAAGCTTTCTAGTCATTGAGGCATTGGTTTCACCATTTGGAAACTCTTTACAGCTGTGCAGGCAGCCATCTTGGCTGGTGATAAGTCTGAGAATGTACAGGACCTGCTCCTGCTGGATGTCACACCCCTGTCGCTGGGAATCGAGACAGCTGGAGGAGTAATGACTGTCCTTATCAAAAGGAACACCACCATCCCGACCAAACAAACCCAGACCTTCACCACCTATTCAGACAATCAACCTGGTGTGCTCATTCAGGTAGAGCAACCTTAAATCTTTAAACAAGTTCACTCTCCATTACACCAGTCTGTTACAACCACGCCTTAAAATGTTAATTGATACATCAGAATTTAATTTGAAAAACTCTTTTTTTTTTAGGTTTATGAAGGTGAGAGGGCCATGACTAAGGATAATAATATCCTGGGGAAGTTTGAACTCACTGGTATTCCACCTGCTCCCAGAGGAGTTCCTCAGATTGAGGTGACCTTTGATATTGATGCCAATGGCATTCTCAACGTGTCTGCAGTGGACAAAAGCACCGGAAAGGAGAATAAAATCACCATCACCAATGACAAAGGTATACTTCAGAAATCCAAAGGCATTAAAAATCAAATGTAGCAACATTGCACTGAAAGAATGCTGTGCATGAACAGAGAAGATTAATCGATAGAGCTTTGTATTTCATCATTCCATAGGGCGGTTGAGCAAGGAGGACATTGAGCGCATGGTGCAGGAGGCAGAGCAGTTCAGGGCTGAGGATGAGGCCCAGAAAGACAAGGTCACAGCCAAGAATTCCCTTGAATCTCTGGCCTTCAACATGAAGAGTACTGTAGAGGATGAGAAGCTCCAAGACAAGATCAGCCCTGAGGATAAAAAGACCATTGTGGACAAGTGCAATGAAGTTATTGCCTGGCTGGACAGGAACCAGGTAAAAAAAACCCTTTCACTGAACCGAGCAAGGGTTCCTCTTTGGCTCAAATTGTGAAATCAGGGGGGGTTCATATCATGTTCACTTTGTGAGGCAATTTCTCACTTCCCCTTTGCACTGTTTTTATTCAGTAGACAACTAGTAACCTACCAAGTGTTCTGTCACAGTGAATTATTGGCTCCTTCTGTTACATAGACGGCGGAAAAGGAGGAGTATGATCACCAGCAGAAGGAACTCGAGAAGGTGTGCAACCCCATCATCTCCAAGCTATACCAGGGCGGTATGCCAGGAGGAATGCCTGGAGGAATGCCAGGAGGAATGCCTGGTGGCTTCCCTGGTGGAGCTGGAGGTGGCTCCTCTTCTGGCCCAACTATTGAGGAGGTCGACTAAACACTTGCCGGACCGTGTCTTCTTCTCATATACTAACATATACTTAGTGTCTTAAAGGTTTTATTTTTTTTGTACCTAGTGCACATCCACTTAATATTAGAACACATTTATTTAATCCAAGCAAATAAATCTGACACTTGCATATAGAACCTCCAATATCCAGTCACATGTTTATTTGTCTCCCCACTGAAGATTTGCATGAAATCTCTTAAAAAGTCACACCACTAATCTGTAACTTCTGATCATTATTTCAATAAAGATCCCCAATGAGATTCTGATATTTAAATTGTACTGTCTTTCTTGTGATTTATATACCTCAGTAACCCCCAATATTGCATTAAAAAGGTATGCACAGAAACTCCCAACTTGCAACTATTGACTCTTGCAAATAATATTAACTAGTTCCCGTACACAGACCACAGAAGTTGTGATCAGTATCTATTTCCTGTAGAGTAGCTCGCCTCACTCGGTGCAGGAAGTCTTGACACCTTGAAAATAATATCTGTTAAAATAAGGTGACAACGTTATCGATTGAATCTGTTGCTTCTTGTTTGCACCTTGTGTGCAGTTTGAAACTGAGATGCAAGCAAATGCTCAAACGGCCCAACATACTGAATGTGGTGCAAACAGCGTTTTAATGTCAATAACATGGCAACACTTTGCTGTTGCTTCTGACTAATGGAATAATAATGCAGCAATTTGTGCCCTAAAACTATGTAGATCATGAATTATCTGAGGTGTTTATCACCAGGTGGTCTTTTCCCAGACTGGGGCAGGTGGGGAGGGGGTTGTATGTCTACACTATAAAAGCCAGAGTCCAGCTCAGTTGAACCTCAGGGACCTGAATCTCAACTGAGACACAACCATGTTCTTGCTCATCAGCTGTTTTGCTCTTGTGGCCTCCGCACTGGGTGAGTGACTTGAGCTTAAACAACATACAATGCATGTGTCAGTGGAAAAGTTGTTTGATGTGGTGGCAATTGTGGGTGCCATTCTTGCTATCTGATGAATGACTTTGTACATTTCTGCATTGATTGCATCTTGCTACTTCTGGGCATATATGTCATATTTTGAGGCAAGTAGATAATTCTTTTACGTTGTGTCTCTGGGCTTCAGGGTGTGGAATGCCTTCCATCCCACCCAAAGTGAGCGGATACAACAAGATTGTGAATGGGGAGACCGCTGTGTCTGGTTCCTGGCCCTGGCAGGTTTCCCTTCAGGTAGAAACTCCACATCAGCTGTGGTTTGGTTACAATCACACACTATTAATTAACTCAAATGACAAAAACTGAATAAGCATCTTCTCAATCCTAGGATAGCAGAGGGTTCCACTTCTGTGGAGGATCCCTGATCAACCAGAACTGGGTTGTGACTGCTGCTCACTGCCGTGTGTCGTAAGTAACTCAATGTGGCCCACAATCAAACATGAAAAACGCTCTGTAATCACTTGTCTGACTGCTTTTATTTTCTTTAGTGCAAGAGATCACCGTGTCATCCTGGGAGAGCACGATCGCCAGTCCAACAGTGAGCCAATTCAGGTCAAGACCATCTCCAGGGTAAGGAGCAACAGAATACGTTACGGAGATTTATTTATAAAAATACAAACACTGCTTTATGAAATAAATGACTATATTTGTGTATAATTTTTCCTCACCTCTCCATCCAGGCCATCACTCACCCCTACTACAACACCCAGAACTTTAACAACGACATCACTCTTCTGAAGCTGAGCTCCCCAGCACAGATGACTGCCCGTGTGTCTCCTGTGTGCCTGGCCTCCTCCAGCACCAGCATCCCCTCTGGAACCACATGTGTCACCACTGGATGGGGAAGAACCGGGCAGACTTGTGAGTGAATGACTGTATACACAGAACAAATTAACAGATGTGCATAGTTACAATAGAACAAACATGTACTGCCACATGTTTCACCATACCTCAACTTTCATTGAGCAGATGAGCCTCATCTCCACTTTATTTTCTGTTCTCAGCAAGCCCTCGCTACCTCCAGCAGGCTGCCCTTCCTCTGATGAGCCCTGCTCAGTGCAGGCAGTACTGGGGTCAGAACAGAATCACCGATGCCATGATCTGTGGTGGTGCTTCTGGAGTGTCTTCCTGTCAGGTAACAGCCACTTAAAAGCCTTCAAATACACAGTTACAGGAAAAGTAAGCAATTCTTTAAAAAAAAAAACAATGACCAGATTGTAATTGTTAATGAACCAGCCAGTAAGAAACACCTTTTTTATGCACTTGTGAATGATTAATTATTAATGTATCACAAATGTAGGTAATCTTTAGGTTACTGACCGAAATGTAAGACTTGAGTTGTAAGCTCTTGGTAGTAACTGATTGATAAATAAACAGAAACAAAATTTAGTAACTATTTTCTTATATTATACTAATAATAAAGTGAATGGAAAGTTCAGGATTTGCATATTACATAGAAACAGTTGCTAGAAGATTCTTGTGAATCACTGGTGGCTTTCAAAGAAATAGTTCCCACATTCTTACTTAGAAATTGCTTCATTTCCAGTTCTCTCTCTCTGTGTGTTAACTTGAAACCAAAGAGTCACCTCACAAAGTTGCACAGAGCACACATTTCATGAAATGCAAATCTAAATGAATTTTAACCCTTTAACTAACGCCGGGTATATTTTACCCGATATAATAATCTGGAAAAAAAATATAGTTTTCATTCATTTATGTAAAAGTACAACACTGTATGACAAACTGTAGGACTCTTCTTTAATTTCCCAATATACAATATCACATAAAATTTAAAAAAGGTACCATGGGGGACCCTAAAAAAAGGCAGCAAAATTATTGAAAAATCAGGTAATCCTTAACGAGAAATTTCCAAACAGAAAAAATAATGGAGCTGGGAACTTGTTCTTTGGTCCAGCCGTTCCTGGGACATGTGAGCCTTGTCTGGTGAAGGCATCACTGACAACTGTGGCAGAGATTGACAAAAAATGGCAATTTTTGAGAGGGGAAAAATTACCACATTTTTTTTGACTACATGAATTTCCTTAGACAGACTCCATACCAGAACCAAACTGAGCCTTCACCAGACAAGGCTCACATGTCCCAGTACGACAATTTGTCATACAGTGTTGTACTTGTACATAATTTGATGGAAACTTTTATCTGGAATATTATATCAGGTAAAATATACCCGGCGTTACTGATGGTGTTACTAATTTTAACGTTAGTGTGCTCAGTCAGGAATTTCACTGATTTCTTTTTTTTCTCCTCTCTCTGAGTGCTACAGTTTCACTTGTAGTTAACTAGCTAAAAGCTGAGCTTTAGTAGAAAAAAATAAATAAAATCTGCATAGCTAATGATTGCAGATGTAAATGAACATTAGCTACATGTTAATCACTTGTTAGCATGCCAGAGAAACTAGGCCTGTGGCAGGATGACAGCTGTGGATGAAATGAGGCAGAGGATGTGGCCTGAATGTTGTTTCCCTTGAGAAGTGCAAAGAGATTTCAACACACAAACACTAACATTGGGGCGGCTGTGGCTCAGGTGGTAGAGCGAGTCGATCAATGATCGGTGGTTCGATTCCGCCCTGTAACCTGTTTCATGGTCGTTGTGTCCTTGGGTAAGACACTTCACCCACCGTGCCTGGTGTGAATGCGTATGTTTGAGGTGGTGGTCGGCAGGGCAGCTGTAACTACAATCGTAGCTACCACCAATGTGTGTGAATGAATAATTGACAGTGTAAAGCGTCTTTGAGTGTCCAGAAAAGCGCTATATAAAATCTGATCAATTATTAACATTGGGTAAATTCCACCCATAAAATATGCTACCCTCTATCACTGAGGCCGGGTGAAAATCACCTGAACGCATGCCTCTTGAAAAAACCATAGATGGGAGGTGGGAAACAAACATACCGCATGCAGCTCGGACAGCAGCAACACAATGAAAATCACATGACAAAAATCGTGTGGGTGAAAATCACCCGGCGTTAGTGTTCTAAGGTTAAAGAAACACATCTGTTCTGTTCTAGGATGACTCCGGTGGCCCTCTGGTCTGCCAGAGCGGTAGTGTGTGGTCCCTCGTGGGTATTGTGTCCTGGGGCACCTCCAACTGCAACGTGCGCACCCCTGCCGTGTACGCCCGTGTGTCCTACCTGCGCCAGTGGATCGACCAGACTGTCGCTTACAACTAAGCGTGCGTTACACACTGGTGCAGCCACACAGTGGGCTGCTGTTTGATGCCTTTGTGAGAAATGATGCAATAAACTCATAAAACTACCAGTTCTGGAGTCCTGTTTGTTTGTTTGTTTTTTTAGGTCAGCCTGAGAACATGCAGAGTGATGAAAAAGTTGCATTGGAGGATGTAGTAATTTAGCAGATGTAAAATTCAGATTAGCACAGAACCAGATCTCTGTGCATGACGGTGCTGTCTCATTGGCAGCTGGACTGACTGAGAAGGAGGAGTAATCAGATATAGAGAACAAGTACAAGCAGGCACAGATCAGCTCAGAATGAAAACAGACTCTTGCAGCTACAAGGAAGATGCGGACCGGTAAGACACTTTTTAGCTTCATCATATTTTTTGGACTAAACTGCTCTAAAATAGGAGACTTGCTTAGAATTTTTACCTGAACAAAACAGAAACTGAGCAAATATTAACTTGCAGTTCACTGCAGAGTATTCTATAACTCTTGCATCCGTTCTAGTGGGAGCCAGTATTGCACAGAACATGTTCTAGAGCAACAATTAAAACTATAAAATCATGTGCAGTTAGTTGAAACTTCATGAAATCTGGCTAGAAAAGTGATCAAGATTTCAGTTTTTTCAATGCATATTGCAGAATATGTCTGATGTCTGCATTACAGCATTTCCTTTTTTGTTCATTAGATAACAAGACTCTCACTGCAAGTCCAACATCTGGACTGGACGCCGCAATTACACACATGAAGACAGCCTCTCTGGTCCTGTACTGCTTGATTTTCATTGTGGGGACTGTGGGCAACGGTCTGGTCATCTACGTGACGGGCGTCAGGATGAAGAGAACAGTCAACTCAGTTTGGTTTCTCAACTTGGCCGTGGCTGACTTCCTCTTCACGACCTTCCTGATTTTCTTGATTATTTCTCACTCTCGGGGGAACCAGTGGGATTTTGGTCTTGAAATGTGCAAACTAAACAACTTTGTGACTGTAATCAACATGTTTGCCAGTGTCTTTCTCCTGACCACCATAAGTCTGGACCGGTGCTTGTCCGTCACGGTGGCGGTGTGGGCACACAACAGGCGCACCGTCTTCAAAGCTCAGCTCATCTGTGTTGTGATCTGGGTGACTGCTGGGATCTGCAGCATCCCTTATGCCACTTTTCGCTCCCTTTCTCAGAATAACGTGACAACAAAGTGCGTTTATCCTTCAAACGTGACACAGAAACAGAAATGGATCCTCTACACTTTTCGCTGCGTTGTGGGCTTCGTCATCCCTTTCCTGGTGATACTCATCTCTCACGTGGCCATAGGTGTTCGTGCAAGCCGAATACAGAGGATTAAGAAATCGAAGTCTCGAAGGATCATTTTCTCTGTCATTTTTGCCTTCTTCATCTGCTGGTTGCCAGTCCATATTTTGAGTTTTATAGAATTAAAGGCCAGATATAACAGGGATCTGAGGAGCATACTTAAGATTGGAGGTCCTGTGTCTATGGGTCTGGCTGCTTTGAACAGCTGCCTGAACCCCATTCTCTACGTTTTCATGTGCGATGAATTCCTGAAGAAGCTCAAGCAGTCCATATGTCTAGTCCTGGAGAGCGCCCTTGCAGAGGACCACTTGTCTTTTGTGTCTTCTCGCTCCTTGTCGTCACACTTTTCCCGGATTTCCCGGAAATCAGACTCAAGTGCACCTATGGAGAGAAAAGGCACAGAAGCTTCCCTAACCTTCACAGAATGCAAAATCGAGGAGACTATGAGCACCGAATGAAAACCTCAACAACCAAAAGGCAGTGTGCATAAAAATAAACCCACATTTAAAAAAAAAAAAAAAAAACTTTTAACATGTGTTATTATAATATTATTTCAAATGAAAAACTTACCAACATGTTTTCATTAACGGCTGATAAGAGCTGATTCCTGAGCTCCTGTACAACTTTCATCTATTTTTTACTTATGTAAGCAGCTTTTTATTACACACAGAAGTTACACAACAAATTAGTCAGTAACTGAACATGCCTGTGTGTGTGTGTGTGTGTGTGTGTGTGTGTGTATGTGTGTGTTGCAGCTTTAAGTTGTAAATATGAAGTGCTTGATGAAACAATTAATGTGTAAATTGAAAGAAAAATGTTTTATACTTTTATGCTGTGGCTGCAACGACACCAAAATTGCTTAAAAGGACTTTTTTATACACATTTATGTTGATGTTTGTGAATTTTTTTGATGCTCCGGCTTTTTTTATCCATACTTAATATTATAGGCTTTTCCACAGCAGCATCAATTAACTGTAACACCAGCTTGAACTTCACAAGAGAACTGTGCTTTTCTAAACTGAATAAAAATGTATTGTTGATGAACTGATCTTGTCTGTCTGCATGACTGACGCCACTCGCCACAAGGTTTATCTCACAGGATATAACAAGCTGCATGTGCGAAACCTTTATCGTTTCATTTGCAAAATGGAACGTAAACCGTTGTTCAAACCACTGTCAGATACTTCAGAGAGCAAACAGACAGACAGAATCTGTTCAAAAGAAGGAAATGGAAAATTAATTTGGCTTTGATACTGACTGTATAGCACACCTGCATATAACATACTGCACATCCTTTACACAAACATTCAAGCACTTTTTGAAGACTATTGTGTCTACAAGTAATTTAGTAAATTAATCACACTTTCTGTCAGTTGCAGTGGTGGAAAGTAACTTCATACATTTTTTCAAGTACTGCACTTTTCGTTTTTTTTACCCTATTTATGTACTTAACTATGTTACACACAGAAATATTGTACTGTTTATACCACGGCCTTCATCTGATAGCTTCAGTTACCACTAAGATGGTTTCACACAGCGGGTACTATTGTAAGCTTTAAAACCACATAGTTACAGATTAAACCAGTGGTTTCAAACCTATTTGGATTCTTACAAGAGGCCGTTTGTAGTCCGGCTTACATTTCATGTGTGTGTGTTTTCCCCTCTCTTTCTTTTTTTCTCTACTTTTTTCGTTTTGTGTTTTTTCCACGAGATCTCATGTTCTGTGATTTTTTCTGCGCAAATCTCAAGAGCCGAGAGATCTGTGTCTGAGACCCCCTCTCCTCTTTTGTCTCTGGATGTAAAGTAGTTCAAACCTGCAGCAGTTACAACAGTAGAATGCTGCAGACCCAATAATCTGTTATCATATTGTTAGAATTAGCTATGTTATGAGCAATCATGTATTCTGAATCTGTATTTCTCCACTGAACCTATGATCCTGTTTTTTACTGAGCACAATGCATGTCCTTGAAGAACACATGGCTGGTTAGAACTGGTTTACAGACTAGGAGACAACTGAAACTCCTCTGTTCTATCAGTTAAGACTGCTACTTTAGATACACGCCGTACCAACAACATCCACACATGATGCTTACCACATTTCGAGAACAGAGTGTGAATGAGGTATGTCTGTCTACATCATTGGTAACGGGCTAATTATACTTGGTTGCATACAAGTTCCAACCTCTGTATGGGGCAGCCCCAGCCCGAGAAGATCAATGTGAGTCATTTCTGGATATCGAGGGGCTCCTTCTGATAGAGCTCTCACGAGAGCTGTGCCACTCCGAGCCCAGCACTGACTCACTTTACCTGCGACCGAAATAAATTCTACATCTGTGAACTGATGATTTCTCCAGTTGGTTCTTGGGCTTTCAACTAAAGAATCGGGGCAAACAATATATAACTAGAGAGGCCTCAGTAGAGGGACATAGTTGCCCGATGTATGCATGTTTACTGTGTTTTACTGTGTGCCTACTTGAGGATGAACTTGCCTTGATTTTGCTTTAAAATGATAAATAATGTAACAAGAGCTTAGTCTGTCATGTAACACAGATAATGTGCATGGAGGGGAAGCGTTTCGCTGTAATTTACGCCTACAGCTGAGCAGCTAAGATTTACGACTAGCCAGACCTTGACCTTTCGTCCAAGGTCAAATGTCACATCACCAATATGGGCTCCTATCTGATTGTAGTAAGAAGCTATATATTTGTCTTAGACCTTCTCAAAGTTCTAATGGATTTAAAATTTGCGATTTAAGACCTTCAGTTTGACCTTTGTGTAAATTTCATGTTACATCACCAGTTTATAGGCCTCATATGCCTTCCTAAGTTAATATAGTAAGCTTATGTCTTTTTGTGCATTTTTAGTCATACACAGATTTTTTGGATAATGCGACCTTTGACCTCTGTAGCGGTCGCCAATGCATGCATCAACCCCAAAATCTAACCACACCGAGACGGGACCGTACCAAGGTCATGCATGAAGTTTCAGGTTCAAACTCGTTTCTGCGAAAAAACACACAAATACAAATACAAGGGCACGATTACTCCGTAGTTGCCCATCGACGGGCATCTATAATAACAATCCACTACGTTTAATATTTTAACCACAAGTATTATCACTCATGCAGGACTTTAACTTAGGTACATGCTTCTTATCTTATTGCATACATTTGCTCCACATGCTTTCCTCAGTTTGAGACTTGTGGTAGTTTGGGCGTCACAACAGCACCAACTGTCCTCAATTGTGCATTTTGAACCAAACATAGTATGATTTACAAGACAAACCAAGAAGAAACTGTGCAACTTCACAATCTCAAAGTTCAACTGACTAAAGCACCGGGTTTCTATTCTCAACAGATCTCATACGACGATTCCATCTCGGACAAATCTGACACTGAAACGCTCCAGCTGAACTGTTTTCAAAGTATTTTTCGGTCACACACCTGTCTGAGTGCACCGCGCCCACCGACAGCAGCTACCAGGGTTTGTAAGGCGTTTAGGGAACATCTGTAAATTGTAGCGTCTATTGATAAGCAGATGTTCAGCAAGCGATGTGTTTTCTCCTGTGACAAAATGGAAGGCGCGACCAGATAAGATAGCTGATTGCATCGGTGCTCGCAGTGAAAACGTTAGTGTGCAGCCCTGGTTTAACACCTGGTGACTATTCAGGAAACACGCCCAGATCAACTGGTGATAGCCACAACTTAACACAGATACACCCTGTGTGTTTAATGATGACACACAAAACATATTTTTGTCTGACCAAGCAAAACCCAGAGTACAGAAATACAGAGCAGAACTTGAAGCTTAACTCGGGTTCGTTCACACGCAGCAGCCTCCCAACACAACAACACGAAGCAGAACATTAGTTTGGTTTGATAAAATGCATCAGAACAAACTGAGGCCACGTTGAATGTTTTCAGTTTGCAAAAGTTATGGATTGCAATAACCTGAAGGGGTTAATGTTCATATTTTCTCATATTTAATACAGCAGCAGTCTGTCTTGTCTGTGTATTTGCAAAATAAACATGACATTGTTCTGACCTGATACGTTTCTCTTCTTTTCACCACACAAAGAGATTCAAGCTGCACCGAATGGCATCGTAATGTCTTAAAATGTACCGTTAGTGAATCGTAACCCATGTATCTAGATTCGTATCGGATCGCCTCCTAAGGTAGAGATGCACACCCCTAATTACAGCAGTTGCATGGTTTCACTCTTACTAGGCGACAAGGCTGCTCGTTTATGGTCAAACGTGGAATTCAAGCTCTGAACATCAGAATCTTTAATGCCAGTGTTAACGTAGAGACCTATATCCACACAAGTATACACTAAACTGTTAAAATACACATTGAAAAAGTCTTTGATTCCTGCATTGTTTGATGCAAACGTACATTCAAACTATCAGCTCCTTAACCTCAGACAGTGACTGATCTCAGAACGAATGTGTTGTAGTACAGACAGAAAATCATTGTAACAGACTACACTTTGATTTCTGTAATTGGTAATAAGCAGAATTACAAGAGAGAACGGAGGCGTGTTCATTAAATGACTTCACTTTCATGTATAAAATGTAATCGGAGCTGTATCTCCAGGTAACTGGGCTTAACCGCTGACTAATAAAGAAACAGCAAGCTGTTACCATTCACGTCTAAGTAATGAGTCACAGCTAGTATCACGTTATCTGTAGGCTCATTAAGTTACTTGTGGCTGTTGTGTTGTCAGAAAGGTGTTAAAAAAAAGGAGGTAAACCTGAAAATGGAAGACATCACAATGGACTTTAATTGTTGTTCATGTCGAGGATGCACAAGTCACAGTGTATCTGGGAAAAGAAACTGATGAGTGAGTTAAATTAATCAGACATCTACGTAGATTTTTTTTGTATAAATCCCACATAGCACAAAGGGACGCTCACACACAAGGAACTGTAACAAACTCGTTCTGCGATACAAAGGACGTCAGGTCTTTTAAGGCTCAAGGTTGTGTTGATGCTTTCCTATGAGTCTGACTGTGTAGAAGGCAGGTGAATTCAAACACTGACTGCAGAGCCGTGTTTATGCATAGAGTCCACTGTGTGCTGAGTGCTACAAGGTGGTCCGCTAGCGATCATAGAGCTCCTTCATTTCCTTAAGGATCTTGATACTCTCACTGTATCTTAACTGGTTCTTGTTGGAGCATTCCTTCCATCTGAAAAGAAAAAAAAACAACAAATAATCATGGGTCAGCTCAGCTCATCCGAAACTTTTCACCACACTGATATTAAAAAAAAAAATCAAGCTTGCAAATACACTTACAGAAACTACACACATGACTAAACTTTATACATATGTCTTTGTTAAAAACAGAAATCCAAGCCTCACTTCTTTATTTCCAATATCTCACATGAAACCGGCAGTTGATAGCTTTTAACTTTAAGGACACAAACACTGAATCCACACTTCTTCTAATCTGCTATACTCCAATGCAGTGTGTAAACAGGTTTAAGAAACAAGGAAGAGCTGTACAACAAGCTAAACTCTGGTAACCCACCTCTCCCGCCAAACAAAACCAAAACTGGTCACCTGTAATAGCCCCCTTGTAGTAATGCTGTTTGCCGAATAGACAGGTGTGTAACACAACAACTAACACAACATGTCACAGTTATTGCACTATACAGAACCAATGCGACAAGCTAAACAAGAAGTGAGTTCTGCACAAATTCTGAAGAATGACTGAAATTAGATTTTCCACATGGGCCAAATTATGCCATGCATCCTGTGTTTGCATCACATGATAGCAAATTCAATTCATGGCTTCCTTGTTACAAGGAAGTTAGATTTGTCAATCACTACTGAGATGAAATACCGTAAACCGGCAGGTCTACAATGTGTATAAAATGGAAGCATTATTAAAGTCTACACTTTTACCATTCAGTACACCTAGCTTGGATAATGCTATCTGACATGATGCCGTTTGTTCTGAAATGCATGCAAGAGCTCAGTGTTTCTGTTCAGGACAAAACAGCCAGAAAATAACTTTGTTTGCAAGTCTGGCTCCTTGCTGTGTGACAAAGAATAATGCACTGTGTACTGTCCTTATTGTAAATTCCAGACTATAAGTTGCTGCTTTTTTCACACACTTTGAACACTGCGGCTTAAACTAGGATGTGGCTAATTTATGGATTTTTATGAATTTGCCCCGAGAGTGACACTGACAGCGACAACGAAAGAGACACCGAGGAAGTGTGTGACAAAGTAATTCTGAGGCTGTTCAATTCTGACACTGAAGATGACTTTAGTGGTTTTAGTGCGCAGGAGGAAGATGAAGATAGCGATCAGTGACTTTTCCTGGTAGGCCACTGTATTTCTTTTATTTTTTTAACAGCTGTGTTACAGGCACTGTTTGGAAAACAGCATTTACGGTACGTATTTGTGTATGTTACTGGTATGTATTTAATTAAAAGTTTAAAAAAATCTTTCTGTGTAAATATCTCATGCTACAACGTGGACACCTTGTAGACAAGTGCGGCCTATATACGTACAAAATTTGTTTTCTTTTTAAAGTGAGTGGGTGCGGCTTATAGTCAGGTGCACTCAATAGTCCAGAAATTATGGTAATTACTTTGCTAAGTACATTATGACAAAAGAACAAATGACAGTGTGTCTTAAATGGCCTTTTGTGAAGTACATACTTTTGCCGTATCTTTTTCCAGCGTTCCATGTGGTCACATATAAAAGATCCTGGTACAGCAACATCTGTTAACTGTAGAAAAAGAGTAAACTGATGAACTTGATGTATTATTAAATGCGTTCAAATTAATATTAGAAGTACATTTTATTTTGTTTTATTTTATTTTTTTAAAGGCAAATCACATATAATGCAACAACCTTGGTAACAGTGGGTTTTTCATTGTGTGGGATCCTGAGGTTGATGGGTTCACCAGTAGTGCTAACTGGACAGGACGTTGGAGGTGGAAGTCGGTACACGTTCTGACCTTTGCCGTTGATCATGTCTGTAACCTGGTAAAAGAAAGAAATGTAGAAAAATGAAAGCTGCTGAACAGATGCCGATCATTTGCACTAAGCAATTACTAGTATTTCGTAGGAAACACTTGTGAATACTTTCTTTAAAGTTTATTACACTGTTTCAAAGACAATTTTACACAAAATTACTGGTTTTACTAATGCAGATGTTTTAAGAGTACAGCTTTGAACAGTCACTTCAAACACATTACAAAATCGAAACTCAAAAGATACTCATTTGGCACATTTCGTGCTTAGTCACACTGAAATCGTTTCATTGTTCTTGCAGGGATGGAGACACTGACTGTAATCAAAACTAACTTAGAAGTCAGTTATTTTACATTTGCAACTCAGTGGACAAATGGCATGAATCAGTGGTGTGGTACAAAGTGAACTGGAGTAAGAGCCAAAATGTAGTTTATCTTCCTTTTCACTGAATATATTTTTCCAAAATAAGAATACTTTTATGAACCAGATCAAACTGTGTGACTACAACAGAATACCAGCCCTATTCCTTATTCTGTGATGGAGCAAGCTAGCAACTTCATTTTAGTTTAGTTGAAGTTTTTTAAACTTAAAAGACAGAATATCAATGAAGTGCAACCTTAATTCCATACAGAAAGTACTCTTGCACATTTTAAATAAAATGAATGTGATTCAACATATATCTTAGTAGCCTCACCTCTTCCTCTGCCATGCTGTGGGGAGAACTTGGGGAAGTAGCTGGCTCTCGAACAGAAGGATTGTTTCTCATCCATGCACGGCAGATAGGATACAGCGGGGTGCTGGTGTTAAACTGAGCCAGATCCACACTGCGATCAAATAACTTAATAATGTAAGCATCTAGCAAAAGGAGAAAGACAGAAAACAGCAAGATAATTAAAAGCAAATAATTGTGCAGTGAAGGAAAAGGCAAAGTGGTCACACAGTAACAGAGACACAAGAAGAGAAAGAAATCTGCAACAGAAATTCTTGCTGGATTATTTCGTCACTATTTTCATCAAGCTCACTTTGTTTATGCTGATTGCTCTCTGGTATGCCCTCATCCATCTCTTTTCGCTTCTTCCTCCGATGCTGTGGAAATCGAGCGGAAGGTCTGAGAGAAAAAAAATCAAAACAACAATAGTGACCGTAAGAATGTCCAAATAATTCACAGGCGCTGCTGCTTCCTGTACGTTTGCATTCATTATTGTCCGGAACTTGTTAAAGGTATAAATATGTAAAAGTTGCTGTCAACTCAGAGTGAAAAATACAGACACCTACCTTTTTCCAGCAGATGATGGAGACAAATCCCTAGAGAGAGCAAGTGTAATAGGCAATGTTAGGATAATATATAACATCAATACTTGGTTTTACATTGAAATAGTAACATAGACATTAATTAACTTCACAGGACCATTCATTCTGGAGAGTTTTTAAAAAACATTTGAACATTTAAATCACTTGTCCATACTTGTTTAAAGAGTCAGCTGATATTTTTCCTGGATCACCCTCATTCTGCTCTCTGTGGAGGGTACAAAGATATTAGTTTAGATGTTAGACAATAATCACCATTGTCAGATAATTATGTATGTACCAATAATGCTACTAACCTTTCGTTCTCAGTCTTCTCTACCAGTCCCTTTAACACAGCATCCAATCTGCTGCGAGCACCTGTCCCCTCTAAATCTGCAGAGGTAGTAATAACAGTTGTTTAGAAAGTGAATATGTCATTGAAAAAAGAACAAATGACTAAATCTGCAAAAAACTGAATGAAGGTGACATTATCATCCTCTGTTTTTTCGCTTGAGGGAATCTTTCCTAATCCTGGCGACTGATTTTAGTCGTACCTACAAAGCCAAATGCAATTGGCTAGATCAGGAGAAAATTTATGTGATATATACCAGCATTAGACACTTCATCAAGAGCAATAAGACAATTTTAAGACAGAATGTTCCATAGTTTCACTTAAACGCATTTGACCCATGCCTCATTCCCAGCTTATAAACATCCTATCACATCCCTTGATAACAGAACCTTTTCCCTCCATCACTCTTGCAGTGGCATCCATGCAGGTCTCCTCAGGTGTCCCAGCCCAGAGCCGCAGATCTCCCCTGCTGTCTTTAGGAAATGTTGGTTGCCCTTACGAGATGGGAATCACCATCTTGGCGTTGTGGTGGCTCAGTGGTTAAGGCTTCAGACTGTTGATTGGAAGGTGCCACTGCTGGGCCCTTAACACCATCTAGTGCAGTGTGCATGACCCTGTGTTCAGACCCTGTTTTACCCTACATACCCCAGTTTCTTAAGTTGGAATATGCCACCGCTTGTGGGATCAATAAAATATGTAAAAGAAACAAAAACACACCCACAACCTTGTGTCCACCGCCACAACCACAGACTTGAAGCTGGGATGCACATGAAGGTCTGTGCAGGCTCTGATACCTGGTCCAGGCCCACCACCAGGAACCTCTAATCACCCTGTGTGCACCTGCAGGTGTTACCTGCTTCCTTACTTACTGTATCAGGCGGAGATTATTTTTTTTGTTTGTGCAAATGCATGTATTAGCATGTGTTTGTCATTGTTGTGTTAAAATTATTTCATGTGTACCCTGCTAAAAACAAAATTATTAAATGCAATTTTTAGCCTTTATTTTGTTTGTCTTTACTACAAATAGTTCCATACAAAGGTTAAAATAATGCTTTTCAGCTACATCGTCTAGCTCTACTTGTTAATCACATTAACTATAGGGAGGTTGACAAATGTATTATTATGAGATGTAAAACTTTTAGAGATGCCCTTACCTGGCCGTTCAGTCTTGATTTTGACGTGGTGCATTATGTCCACCTTTTAATATTATCCTCGCAGTTATAAAGGGAAAAAACACACTTTTAAAACCACACCTTGACTGTCGGTATCTCTACGCTGATGACATTTTCTGGTTAATCACTTGCTGACAACAACGGTTGCTAGCTAGCTAGCTAGCTGCGGTTATCGTTAACAACTAGCTAGCCACTTTCTGCATTCGCCGTGACCACTAGTTAAAGCTGGTTTACAAATCCAACTTTATCTACGTCTATAGCTGAATAACAGTTACGTCTAGCGATTTCCAGAAATTTACTTGAAATATACTTCTGGCTAGTCGTTTTAATATTATATCGTACCGCCGTGGGTACTAGCCAAACTACCGTTGCTAACTTAGCTTATTTTTGACAAACGTATAGCCTTTGCAGACTTTCCTCTTCCGCGCGCTGCCGGTTTTCTGTAACCTCATTGGACATCGTGCAAACAGATCCACCAACGCGATTGGAGGATAGACATGTCAATCATTTCTAACTCTGTGCCCATTGGCTGTGTAACTAACGAACTCCATAAACAGTGACGCTTTCTTCTGGTATCATCGGCAGCCGTAGGTAGTTTTGTAAAATAAAAAAGCGAAGTAATTATGTTTTCAGCGACAAAGGTGAGCTTGTAGGGTGAATGTGTCTTCAAAATACTTGCTGCAGTAGCGTTACTTGTTACCTTAAAGGCAGTTTGTGTCGTACTAGCGTGTGATTCCATGGTAACTTTGTTGTATGGATTTACCAAGGAGGGTCAGTGGATAAAGTGGTATGTTGTATTATGTAAGCAATCCAGTCAGACAAACATGTCAGTCCAGCTATAACTGGAGGACAATTAGGATCAGGTTTCAGTCAGATCCACGCTGCAACAATCTCTCTGCCCTGTGACTTTCCAGAGCTGCTATGAAATCCAGGTAAGACTAATGGACAAATGTATTTACCTACATCCAGACTATTAAATCCAGCTGATAGGAACAACACGTGGACAACCTGTCAGATGTCACCTATATACTACCCTAAACAACAGTGGGTGCTTTTTTTCCCCAGTGGACCTGTGTTTACGAGGCAGAATCCCTTCCCACCAGCATCCACTGCGAGGAAGGCACACTACCACCCATCCCGTAACCAGGCCCTGTCAAAGAAAGACAAGAAAACCGTATGTTTAAAGGCTCTTTACTGCAAGACATTCTCATTCAGACTTCCCTAAATCATTGCAAACATGTCTCATCACAATTTGTTTTGCAGACTCTGAGTCCTGTACGTTCAAACCAGCGATCCAGCCCACAGTTACACACTCACAGCCCAGTGAGCCAACATAAGAAATCTGACCACCGTTTTTTTACCACTGATGGACAACCTGTTTTTGAAGAGTCCTGGCCCTCCTCTGATTGTGGATCGTCCCCTGGCAGCACTACAGCCTCACCTGACATGGAGGCACCCAAACAGTCTGCTCGACCAGGGAAATCCACAGTTTCCTCATTGCAAGGAAATCAGCAGGATTCAGTGCTGGCAAAGTATGTCTAACACCCCGTGTTATTCTTTTAAACAGAACTGTAGATTTGTTTTGCAGTGAAAAGGGGTAATAATACATGTTCATTTTTTAAACTGTGTAAATGATTTGTTGCAACCAGCATTGAATTTTGCTTTTCCAGATACGTGGAACGTTTTCGTCGTGGTCGGCCGCAGAGTCGAGAGGAGCGCCAGCAGACGGCCTCTGACGTTGGAGAGGAGCCGGGGCCTTTTTGGTGGATGTCACATTCATCTTTACCCCCCAGTTCAACACCAGTTAAAACAACAGACAAAGGTATATTTTCATTTATTGTTGTATCTTAATTTATGTGCCATTAACTGTTACAAGTTCCTGATTTCTAGTATAATTTCGGTGAAAATCTGTCTGTGCATTTCCTTCTTCTGACTGGACGCTACTATAAACTACCTCTGAAAGATGACCACGATCCTGCCATTTTCAGTCCAGCTGGACAGCGTCGGCGTGACAGATCCCTTTCTCCATGCAGAGGATCCCTGAGTGTGAGTGTACTAGAACTGAGCCACAATATAACCTGTGCTTCTGTTGTCTTTCCCCAGTAAGCATGAAATAATTGGTGCATTGTTGCAGAAAATGTCTACTATTGTGTAAATGCATTTCTTAAAAAAGTGGGGGGGAAAAAAGCTACAGCTATTATTACATCTTGTTTTTGATTCGTTGTTTGGGCTGTTTGGATTGTTGGGCTTCCACTGTTCCCTGTTTAATGCCAGGTTTGTCTGAATGCCCAGAAGCCAGATTGGTAGAATCCCAATTCCCCCCCGTGGCCCTATCACGTGGCCCTACCTCTCCATTTTCCAAATGGCCATTTGGAGAGCTTGATGACAGATACCCCTCGAAGAAACAGGACACCCCCACCTTATGTAGCAGCAAAAAGCGTGGGCAGTGCCACGTGGTTGAGCCAAAGGGGGGGAGAATTGAAATCGGGCCATTGCCTACAGCAGAAACACTTTATTACGACTAAGTGTGCATATAAATATTTGCATTTCAACACCACACCACTGCATTAGGAAACCTTTGTGTTTATTAAATGCCTGGGAAGCCACCATTTATCCAGCTTCATTTGATTAATTGTTCAGCCTGCAGATGTCACACATCTCATCCTCATAAAATTATGAACAAAACTGAGTGCATGTGTTGGCATTATGAGGCCCTGTGTTGTGATTTATTTGGTTTTTGTATTCAAACAGCTGCAATTTATTTCTAAGTTTGAATCATTTACACAGCATTCTACTTGATGTGTTGTGTTCTGCCTGTATCTTTGCTCCTCAGGTTTTGTCCGACACTTCCCAGAGTGAGTTTGATGACACAGAGATCCTGCACCTTCAAGAAAAGGCTAGCCGACTTCTGCTCAGAGGGTACGAAGACCTGAAAGTAATCTCAATAAAAAATGAATGCATTATTTAGGTAGTAATTGTCTTTCTAACAGTGAATGTCCCCTGAGTGATGGATCGGTCCCTGTTAGCTCAGAGGGCGTGGGATGCTCAGATTTCTCTTCTCCTGTCAGTGTCGATGAGCCAGTGCGACAACCTTTGGTTCCCAGTTTAATAAAATCTACTGCTGGTAAGGAAAGAGTGTGATTTGGAATACCATTTGTTGTAGATTATGACTAACTATGACCGTGCTGCTTACTGCTGTGTTTTAATGCAACGTGTTTACAGTGAATCCCAGCTCAGACCCATTTCATGCGGCATTGTCCAAAAAATCTATCATCCCTCCTTCGGGGCCTCCCACATGTCCTGAACAGGACATCTTGTTCCAGTGGCGTTTACGGAGAAAGATGGAGCAAGCCAGGGAGCGGCCCCAGTTCCTGCAACCCTCCGGTCTTCACGGTTCCACATTTAGCTGGCAGGCTCCCATCTTAAGCCATCCCTCAGCCGGTGGACAAGCTTACAAGGTTGGAATTAAGCTGTATGTTATATTCTCCATATTTTTTGTTTATTATGTATTTCAGATTTACAGAGGGACACTATTTTTCTCTGTAACCACAGAATGCTCCACCTCCTCAATCCTCACAAAGAGACACTCATCCGCCCATCACTGCTTCCCAGCCAGAAACCAAAGAAGCCCACAGATCATGTCCTCCAGAGCCGCACCATCCTCCCTTCCCTGCCTTTGTTGTCTCCGGCTCTTCAGCCCCTCAGCCCCAGACTATTGCCCATGTTCCTGCCCACATGCATTACCTCTGTGATGTCTTGCCGTGTCCCATCCAGTCATCTCATGCTAAAGAGCAACAGAGCATCTCACAAAGGTTTGATGAGCCTCAGACCAAATTTGCTCATAAAAAGATCCAAGTCTCTGGAAACTCTACAAATACCTTCACTGATGTTCCTCTTGGTGAGCATGTGTCATCTTCACTACCTGCTTCATCTGGAGCTACAGAGGGAGAGAGGCCTAGTCACCAAAAACTACCTGAGAGGAATAAGAAAAAGAAAGCAGAGATGAAAGAGTCAGAGAAGAAGACGTCAGAGTCCATCAGACAGCAAAAGAAATCAGCGAGGTGATGCATTCAAACATGAACAGTGTAAAAAAATCCAAGTGTGATTGCTTAGTTTTCATTTTTTATGCATGTACACTGTGGGTAGTCATCATCTTGTGTGTTATCACTTTAAAAACAGCAGTTCTTCACATCAGAGACTTCCCAAAAAGGTCACATCCCAGAAAGAGCAGCATCGACAGGAGGGAAGCCAGGAGTTTCCCAGCGAAGGCTGCTCTCGTGATTATAAACCACCACCTTCTCCGATCCACATGGCCTTAGGGCAGGTCAGTGAATGGGCAAGCTGCATTTTTTTCCCCTTGCTTGCACCGATTTGGAAGTTATTTAATCTCATCTTGTCTGTGTAGTTCAACTCACGCAAGCACTTTTGGAAGCTGGAGAGGCTGTGTGCATATTTGGTCAGAATGTTATTCCTGCTGTCAAAATATGGTAATCTGCCAGCAGAGTGTGTGATGAAGTGAAATATATCAATGTGTTGCCTGTAAAAATACTGTGAAGGTCTACAAATCTTCCATTTGATATTTATGCTTGTTTATTTAAGTTGATTATCTAATTTAAAAAAAAAAAATCCACAACTGGTCTTAATCAGATGGGCTACATGTGAGATATTTTTTGAAATCAGAGGTTTCTTTGTAACCATATTAGAGCAAAATATCCACAGTGACATGTCATAAATAGGTCTACTCTCACTCTGCACATTTTTTAGATGCCACACATTAGCAAGGCACGCTGTCATTATGATAAATTGAGTCTGCATTAATCACATTTGGTGTTCTCGTTGGCCTTTACAGGTGGTTTCAGAGGTTTTGTTCCCTACGGAGGATTCGTCTCCTGCCCAAAGAATCCCTGTTTCATCCGTTTCTCCTCCTGCTACTTTCTCTGCACCTTCACAATCCCCAGTTTCTTCATTTAATGCACAGAACTCTATGGAGGTCATTTCACAGCTGCTGCAAGAGGCTGAAGGTGAGCTCCAACCTTTGCCCTGTAGTTAATTGAGGAGAATATATGCTGACCTTTGAGTAGATGCCATTCCCCACATGCTTAAACTTTAGGTCAGAAACGTCAGAACTTTCTTTGTTTTTGGAATACAGCTTGTAAGTGAACTTGTTTGTAGTCTATGTAAAGTCGTATTTACTACCTATTGCTGAACAAAAATGCTTATGGATGCAATATTCCAGTGTGTGTCTAGTCTTTGTGCTCTCATTTAGCTAAATCACGTTGATGTTTTTTTAGATTCTGATGAAAAAGAATTCGAAGATGACCCTTTGTTACAAGTTCTTCGCAAACAGAGAAAATGGATAAAGGAGCAGATCAAGTAAGAATTGATTAAAATTATCGTTGGAATAATTCGCTACAAACTGCCAGCACACACAATTTATATAAAATGATATTTCTAGTCTGATTTTAATCTTAAAATCTAATGAAATGTAGCTCACAATGTTATGAAAGCGTCTAAACATTGCAAGTTAAATTCTTGTAATCGACTGTATTTTTCTTTTTAGTGAAGTGGACTCGATGTTAGATGAATTCCTGGAGGAGCAACACGTTACTTGACGATGACAAGAGGCACTTGATGTAGTCACAATTTTTTTTTATTATTATTTTGTAAAGAAATAAAGCTTATTTGTATATTTCCACATTGGAGATACATCTGGGTGCATTATTTTGTTTCACAATCACAATACAGTGCATTTACAAAAGCTGCACAAAACAAACCAAAGAAGAAAAAAACAAGAGCAGCAGTTTGAAATGTGAACACAGAATATTTACAGAGTGGTTTCTTGAAACATTATGTAAGATCGAGGAGCAACAGCAGAGCAGTATATACAAACCTTTAGAGAGCAGGGAATATTAGAGCTGTGCCAGGAACAAAACAAATGTGTGTTTTGGCACGCGCCGAGTGTTTCTGTGAGCGGAGGGGCCTGGAGTTATTGCTGTTTTTGTCTGTGTGTTCGTAAAGGCTTCTGTTCATTTATTTTCATATATGGAGAAGATGGAGGAGTATTTCAGTGTTTGGTATTAAAGCGATTTAAGTCAGGGATGTGTCGTTCTCACTCGGCAGCATTGGTGCAGATATGATAAGGATGCCGTCTGGAGAGACTGCAGACTCCAAAGCCATGGTGTCCACTCCCTTCGGGATCCGGTAGCGGCGGTTAAACTGCCTCGTTGTGACGCCAGGGCCACTCTTCTAATAGAAGAGAGATAACAGCGAGTTTGAAAAGTAACACAAATCAGAACTACTGTTTAAAAAGAAGGACAAAAATGCAGTAGTCATCATTCCTACCTTTTTTTCTTCATGCTTTCCTTGTACTTCTACAAAGTCTCCAATCACTTTGACCATTAGATCCTTTGGGCTGAAGTGCCTCACGTCAACTTGAACTGTAAATCCACTGTCATCACAGTTTACCTAACAACATAAATCAGAATGTTAGATATACATGTTGCAGCAAATAGCCAAATAAGGCCCTATGTGCCACTATAGATATCCTTTGCTGTATTTGAGCATGAAACAGCAGTATGACTAAAAAGTTTTTAGCTTATCAGGGCATTCAGCTGCATCTCAGAGTCTATGTCTACTGAAGAAGACTGTGGATGCAATTGAAAGCTCTGGCAAAGTAACTTAAATCAAGTTCAACTTTAACTTTTAAAAGATAAACAGTAGATTCTCCACCCATTGAACAAGTTGCCATTGAAAAAGGCAATTTGTCAACAGTTTTCATAAGCCATAAATCAATCAATTTTCTTTTCTTCTACACATTTGCAATACACAGTGCATTCAGGTACCCACCTCTACAGAGCTGCCATTATCAGTCTCTGGGATCAGTAATGTTGGGGACCAGTTATAGTTTCCATAAGTTCCACTCAGCCGAGGAATAAGAGGCGGCAAAAACTTCTCCCACTGGATAGCAGAAGTTGACATAGAGGGTGGCAGGATGAAGTCCATTTCTAAACAGCAGGAAATGTGAAAAGAAGAGTTAAATAGAAAGCAGCTGAGGCTACACACAGCATGTGAGGCTACAACTCATACAGCACTCACCTCTTCTTAAATTCTCTGTCCAAACTGGTGCGTACGAGGGAAAGGACAGCCCCTGTTTAGCTGCTCGGCCCCCTGACTGCGGTAGGGAGGATGTGGTGCGCCCGTCTGTCTGGCTGATCCTCTTCCTCTGGGTGCTGCTCTGGTGTCTGTTTTATACTGGTGTTGCATAATGAGCTGGGAATTCATACCGGGGCACCTTGCTTCTGTTATGTTCTGGACCGCATACCCTTGGGTGCTCAGGCACGTCCATATAGGAGACGAGTGTATAGGCCTATTGTTTTTGGGGGAGTAGTGCAGCTGTTGCAGGCTTACTGTCAATTAACGAGTTTATTAGCAATTATGTTAGAGCCTGCAGTTTTTTTTTTTTATTGGGTCGGTGCCACTGACACAAACAAGGCCATTCATGAGTAATTATCAGAGCGGTTAGGGAGCTCTGTGCTTAAGGTCGGTTGTCAAGGAAGGTCTGTCCAAAAATAAGTTCAAAAGACGATGTTGTTGACCCTCGTGAGCTGATGCCAGACAGACAGTGACAGCAGGGACGAACTAAACACATGCCAGAGCATGTGAATAAGCCACTGTCCTCTCATCACTCACTTTCACTGATCAATTTTTTTTTTTCTTAAGTAAAAGCAGAAATAGCTCATTGTAAAAACACTTTACTACAAGTAAAACATTTCTCTTCCATATTAAAGCAACTATTAACTTGCTGTTGAATAAAGGTGAAGTAAAAACTTCAATTTTATAAATGAAAATGCCTCAAAATTGTAGCCTGTTTAGTGCAAATGTAGTTAATTTCCACCACATAAGTCACATTATACTGAGTAATAATATACAGTGTCTGAAAGAATGAATGAAAAATACTTTATTTATCCCAGAAGGGAAATTCAATCTTGTAAAAGCTCACTTTTTTTTTAAAATCAATATAACATATATTATATACAACAATAATAATCATTCAGTCAGTTGGATTTGTTGTTTTTTTTATTTATTTATTTATTTATTTTTTTTATTTGTTGGATCTGATAATGAATTCCCTATAAATCAGTTTACAGTGTGCGTATTATGAAGAGTACCCCACGTCCCGATACTCCTTGTTCTTGGCACACTCGTGAAGTCAGCAGTTATGCATGGCCGGCACATGTTCTCCCTGTTAGCAACGCGCAACCTGTCACTTAAGCTCTGACTGTGACTAGTGACTAAAATTGGCGGTGATTATGTTATGACTCATAAACGGATGATAGGGAAGTGGGGACATTTGGACGGATCAAGGTATTGGGTTTCACAACAGGCGCCAGTGGTTGTCCGGACTTTAGGCGGCATACTGTACGTAACAATGAGGAGTATATATATATGTGGAAAATAGCTCACCGATCAGTCACCGTAACAAAAAGTGCACGCAGCTTCATCGATTTAAGAGGGACAATGACATAAGCTGAAAATTCTGACTCACTGAAAATAAAGTACATGGATTAAAGACATTCTAACTTTGAAGCATGGTGGATATTTTTTTATTCATCATTCACACACAGTTAAAAAAAAAGGTTTGGGTTGCACAGTCATACACAAACATTAACCTCAACAGTGAACATTTTGAAAACAAGAAAAACAGATTGATGAATCTATTGTTCAGTGTCTTGAACGAACCTGAATGCACATCCAGCTTCACCGTTATAAACTGTTAATGATAATCAACATCGTCTGTTATACAAGATTAATCAGCCTATTCTAAAACCAAACAACTTTCTCAAATGCATTGGAAAGCACAAAATGGAATTTCTGTGTCCTACAGCATTTATCTTTTGAAGATGTGAGATGTTAACGTACGATTCATCCACTGAATTTAGTTGCAGAAACCTGACAAACCAGAATTTTTCACTACGGTTAAAGAAGGAAAATTCTTTGGTCCATTACAGTGGATCATGAGTTGTTTTCAGAAGACCTGCCGTCGAAAAATGTCTCAAGGAATGCCCAGTGGAATTGTAAAGGAGAGGTAATCTCCCACCTCCCCCCACTCTGCTCTGAAATGCTGGAAAATGGTGATCCAAGTTGTGAGTACTGCAATCCATAAAAGGAGCCCCAATGCTGATCGCTTCACATCTAGATATGGAGAACAAAAGAGAAAACACAAGATATTTAGTTTTCCCACTGAGGTCAGACACACACAGGTGGGTTGTATTAAGCTCTTTGCCTAAAGCAGTCTTTAGAAAAACACTGCTCATCAGATATCAAAAACCTTTGTGGGCAGTGTTTTTACAAAGCACAATACACTGTGTGTGTTCTAAATCAAGTGCCAATAGCGCCATAAATTTATGCAGGGAAGTTCTTCAAAACAAAACATGAATATTCATTATGGGAATCTCACATCTAAACAAAGCGTAGCATTACGTGTATGGTAACATCAGCTAACTTGAAATATGTGATAGAAATTTTGTCATACTTATAAGTTTAGGACTATGGATGGATAAAATGGACCTAAATTAATATTGTGATCTGAAATATTACATGAGGGGTCTACCGATGTTTTCTTCAAGGATGATACTGGTTCCAATTCATAGTAACAAAGGAAGCCAATAACCAATGTTTACAAGTGATACACATTTGCAAAAAAAATTAAATAAAAATAAAAAATCTCGGTATCAAAATTGCTAATAACACAAACTTCTACACAAAACTGTAATGAGATGCTTTCTGAGCATGTGCTGAGAATTACTTTTACATATGTTTAATTAAAACACAACTTTTCAACCATTATTCTTTAACGTCGACACGCTATTAGACAGACATACAATCCATCATGTCGCGCTGTGGGCGGGGCATTACTGTGAACTATAGAGACAGAGAGGCGGCTGTGTCAGAGCCAAAGCAGAGTGTTTTTAATTTTCTTTTTTAAAATCGGGAATCAGTTAAAAAAAAAATTAAAAAACGATACAGATAAATCATAAAAAGCTACATATCGAACTTGCTAATTGGCCTGCTCTACCCCTGCATTATATACCAAAGAATTCATAACTACATTCTGCAAATGACACTCATGCATATTGCTGAATCAAATGGGTATTAGTGAAGTCCTAAAACAAAAGTCTATCGTTTTCAAGACACAAAGACACATCTGTGTTCTTAGGTTTGATCAAATGTATGACTATACAAGTATTCTGTGAAAAAAACACCATATTTAAATCATTGCCTCGGCGTACCAAGAAAAAAAAAAGATTAAACTTTCCTAATCAAAACAAACAAAAAAACAAGCAAAAATCCATATAAAAAATAAAACTATGCTAAATCTTTTGGGATTTTAATCAACAATCTCCTAAACTGTTTGGAAAATGATTAAAAAATGTAAATTTAAAATTGCACACACTGTTACTGCAATGTGTGTCTACACAGAATGCAAACCAGGATACTTGATCTAAAATGACAACCTTTGTCAAAGGTATTAAATGAAATAAATACTTTGTGAGCAAACAAGCCACAGTATAGCTATTAGAGGGACTACAGGACATAAAATAAACACATCATTTCTAAATAATTAATTTTTCAACAGTTGCATCAGTGGTTTATAAAATTTCTGGCACTCACATGTCTTTATCTGCAGCTGTTCAGTGTACGCTGGCTTTACAAAGGCCTCTCGAAAGAACCACACGACGTTTACCAACCACAAGAAAGGGAGAAACGCAAAGCCACCTGGAAAAACAAGGGAAAACATAATCAGTGACAGAACCACTAAAACAACATTACAAAAGATTCCCGGTCACTGTAACTTAACCATTAACAGTAAGTATACTTGTGTCAGTAGGATTACATCAGTTAATTTAATACAAACATAAGTGAGCCAGACCTCTACATGCATGCATCCACAATTTCCAAATCAAATGGGAGGAGGTAGGACTGAAAAGAAGAATGCCTGTATACTGTGTGTATCATCATAGTGATTTTTTAAAAAGTACTCTCACCTAAGTAATACTTCCTGCATAAGCTGAGTTTCTCCTCATTGGGCAGCCGTTCCAGATTCATTCTGAGTTAGTCTGGATCCTGTTCCAAAAAGAAAGCAAGATAGTTTACAGAGCACAACTAGCTCCAGATAGCAGTCGAAAAACAAACTTTTTTTTTGTCCACAAAGGTGGTGGCGCTAAACGTTTAACACATGATCGTCTATGTGACTGGGAAATAATCTGATGACAACAGTACAAAACAATTCAGACAATAAAGTTGCTGACGCTTGTCACCAGACTGGAAATGAACCTCAGGCTAACGTTAGCATTTCATTAGCTTAGCAATGTTGTTCCGACTGCTACAAACAGTCGTAGCTGTAGCTAACACCGCTCTTCATTCTGGATAAAACCATTTTATAGCATTACCAAGAAATGTGAATACTGTACATAAATGTGATAATTTACCTGATATTTTTTTTTACTGATAAATGTTGGACTAGCGGCCCAAAAAAAACCCAAACAATAATCACTTCCTCCTTCTTCTTCTTCTGAATCGAGGAACTCCCTCTTCTGCTTCTTCTTCTTCGTCTCTTTTTCCCCTGTAGCTTTTATGGCACGCTTTCCTGCACTGCGTAGCGCCATCTAGTGTGCCAGAGTGTTTTAGCGGTTTAAAAATATACTGATGAATGGTCGTGTTGCCACTTCCTCTCCTTGTCTCCCCTTTATCTTTGTATTTTTATCTTTTAGAATATTTTAATCCTCTCCTCCAGTGTCGAGTCAGGTCACCGTTATTTATACATTGAAAACAAGAGTGCTTTCCAGGACAGAAATAAGACTGCTGTTAGGAATTTACCCAACGAAGTTACATATTATGGTTAAGACTCTTCAATATTATATAAAATACATATCTACTAGACGAAGCAAAATATTATGGTCAATCGCAACAATTTTATCAATTATGCAAATTTCCCCTTGTAATTTACACAACATGGTTTGGGGCCTACAATATTATACACTGTAATCTCTAATGACTAACAACAAAAATAAAGTTAAGACACTACAAAATATACAAGGAATACCCACCAAATACAAAGATTTCCTTTGAGCAAGCACAATAGAAACAGTGACGAGATAAACTTCATGTTAACATGATTAGACCTCTGGCAGAACTGGGCTTAAGGAGGTCGGCCATCTGCCTCGACTAGTTGGGTTTAGGGTGAAGGAGAGAGATAAAAGGATAGCAGAGACAAACAACACATGGGAGAATATGAACGCTGGATAGTTCGGTGGAACTCGTGCAGCTCCAGAGCCAGAAATACCTGCAGAGGATAATAACTGTTATTGCTTCCTCTGTTGTTTAATGTTTATCAAGTCCTTCAGCCAAGACCTCAACCCGAATTGCCATTTTGTTTGTCGAACAAATATGGGCAGTAATTCAAATGTTTGGGACTAAAATCTCAGCTGTGGTCTTGGAAGAACAAATATATGATGTCTGAAATCCAGAGTAATTGATTCCTTACATTGTTTTTTGAACATAAAATTTTGCCTCAGAAGCAAGTAGTATACTATAATGTCGCCTCTACATTCCTTAAAAAATTAGTTGACTTGCAATATTTCTCTATCCAGTTTATTCAGCCACATAAATTTCCTCTAACACTACATGGTCTGGAGTAAAACATCAATATAAAAAATGGCTTAATTTGTACAGATTCCTCTTCTTCCTCTTTAGCTCACTCAGATGACATTAAAGCTGCATACTGCCATCTACTGTGCTGTAATGTGTAGAGTTACGGGACTAAGTTGTGGATTTGAAGCACTTTGTCATAAAAAAAAACACTAATGTAAACACTGTCGCACTGTTTCTACATTATTTTCTTCTGCACCCCATTCATTCTGCCAGATGTTAACTATCTACAGCTGTTCTGATTCAAAGCCTTAACATAGGCTGTGTCAATTTAGCTATTCCATTTCTGACATGTGATTGTTTCCAGTTAATTGCAGTTTTTAATAAAGCAGGAGGAATGTTCAGATTCTTAACCAATATGCAAAATAGTTTGTTTCTATGAGCTTCATAAAAACTGTTTCACATTAGATTTGTAAAAACTTGTCTGATCACTGAAACTCTCTGTTTCAGGAAAGTCTTATAACATGTAACTAACAAAGATTTTGGAATTTTTCTGCTATTTTATTTTTTAATCAAGATGCTCTATAACGTTGGCATATCATTGTGTCACGCCAATAAATAACTGAAATAGAATTGATAAGACCCTACAAAATTATATAAAATACTAATTTACCTGACTGAATCAAATCATAGTGTTAATACGCAACAATATTATTAATTATGCAAATTTATGCAGGTAATTTAAATATCATTATTATAATTTAAGCCTGTAAAATTATTCATTATGCAAATGTTTGCAAGTATTTTAAACATCATAGTTAAAAGCTTGCAAAATATATAAATATCATTTTTACCTGACTAATTTAAACATTAAGGTTAAAAACATATAATTGATATTGCAAATATAGTAATTTAAAAAGTATAAGTGAAACCCTGCAAAATGTAAAATGCAAATTTACCGGAAAAATTTTAATGTTATGGTGAAACCCTTCAATTTAATTAATTATGCAATTACTCGGCTGAATTAAATATTAAAGTTATTATCCAATAATGTTATAAACCATGCACGTTTACCTGAAAAAGTTAAATATTAAGATTAACACCCTACAGTGTTTTTTCTTATGTGAAATAATAAAATCAGTAAAGTCTGACTCACACAACAGTAACCTGAAATGTGGTCTGTTCAAATTTCTGAATGAAGATTCGACGTACAACCACCACCAGCAGTCGGCCCGCTTTCCCCTCCCAGCGCATGAGGTCTCACTTGAAAAAACTCTCTTTCCCATGCAGCACTGCGGCTCCCCCCTCCCATCTCGCGCCTTCCCTCTTGTCTCTCCTCGAGCTGCTAGCCGTCGGTGTGTGTTGTTGTTGAAGCAATGATGGCGGCAGCGGGATGCGGATCAGCAACCGCGGCTGCCGTAGGAGGCCAAGGTGGAACCGCTACGGCCAGAGGTCGTTTCCCCGGTCGGCCTTGGTCATCACGCAGTCGTTTGCGCTCTGAGAAGCGATGGCAACTCGGACGATCAGGCTTAGAAGCTGATGATGTGACTAACGGAGGGCCAAGGCCCGCAAACCTGGTTCTATCGTTAAACGAAGACCAGTCTCACTTACGCTTACTTGGGATAGAGGCAAGCCACAAGATCCTTGGCCAGGCTGGATACAGCTCTAGTGGGAGTGAAGAGGTGAGGTCCCAAACCGACCCAGGAGTTAGTATCTTTATTTCATCTTCTCCCATTTTGTGTGATCGTTAGTGTGCAAGAATGCGTGCTGTCCACAGCAGTGTGACTGGTTAGTGCCATGGAGAAATGTCAACATCCTTTTGCTAGGCTAACTGTAGCTTTAAACTCGCTAAGCTAACATTACATGCTAACTAATGTTAGCACAGTGCAGCCTTCCATTACATTTAATGAACAGTCGTAACAGAAAATACCACTTCAACCAAGCAGCAAAGCTGTTAAGTTACATTAGCACTGCTTTCACAGTTGCTTTTATGGAGTTAAAATATTATAGGGAGAAAACAAGAGCAACCTTAAATAGATTTTTTAAAAGCTATTGAGCAAGAACACTAATTTGTAAACAGTGATCGTAATTATTTCATCTATGGCCCGCTCGTTATCGAGTCAGAGTAGCAGCTAGCTGGCTAATAGCGGACACAAAGAACGGGAAGGCTAGCGCCTCCGTACCCTGCACAGCGGCTAACTGCTAACTGTTTTCATACGCTGTCCAGATGCGGGCAGAGTTGTCTGTCTAGCTAGCATAAGACAGAACTCGCTTAACATGTATTTGTCTGCCTCAGCTAACTGCCGCATAAATTCTCAGATAGCGAAGTTTTATGTTTGACAATGTGGCTTCTCTGTCGTCAAAAGTTGAGTTTTAATGTTTTTGAGAGAATGGGATGGCTAACTGCTAGCTACTGTTCCCAAACACGACAGGTTTAAATGGTGGTGCAGAAGTGTGCCAAAGCCAGTGGCACCCGTGTTCGAAGTGTGATTTCTCCAATTCACATGTTGTCGTTAACGTTTAATACTGATTCATGAGAGGGGGGCTGTTTGTAGGCTTTCAGTTCCCCGTTGCAAGTGTGAAGCCGACATGCAGTACTTGAAAGGGATTCGTAATTAGAGACCCAGATTTCCATTGCAGTTTTTTTTGAAACGTTAGTGTAGGTGTTCTTCCTAACTGCTAAGAGAGATTCAAACAAAACGCGTACAGCTCTGATCTTGCATAAAGTGGTAAATGGTCTAGATCACAAGTAGCTATATAACTAAAACTTTGTGAGCAGTTAAGCTAAACAGCTACATCTTTATTTGTAGTGTTACTTGTGCAGAGCCTATTCATATGTTGTGTATTACAGCCCAGAGTTGATGAATGAAAGTAGCTGGTTTGAATGTGAAAACAGAGAAACAATCATACATTACCTGTCACTTATTTGTTTTAAATTTCTTGCAAATAATCAGTTTTGTGCAGTTTTGTTGTTCTTATTATTCTCCAAAACTTTTGATCCGATATGTTGAGATAGCATAAGACAGTTTTGTTAGCTATACTGATGAAATCGCCATTATGCTGGACATTAATCCAGTCTTGAGTGTGATTATGCAGACAATTTCAGTGTTCATCTGTCCATTACACAGTTTATGTAGTAACATTTTAGTTACTGTTTGTGCTAATGATTTAGCACTTTCCAGCAGAGTGGTACTAAGTGGCTTCAAGTGTTAATCATCTGGATTTGATTTTTCAAGGGTGATGACTTCAGAGGATTTGAAGCTGACAGAAAAAGCTCCAAAGGATCTGTATTGTCTCAACAGAATTCTTCCAAAGGTAAATTAGGAGACCGTTACAGCATGACGTGACATATTTGTTGTAATTTATGAAGAAGACACAAGTGAAATTTTGAATTAAGCACAATATACAAAATAAAAGGGAATTATTTTTCTATCCCACAGTGGACAAGCATGAGTTTTTTGTAGTATTTCATGTATTTTTTTGTTTTGTAGGTGATGCTGTCAACACGAAATCTAAACGACAGAGCGAGAAGCTACCGCATAAAACGGCAGCAGTGGAGGCAGCTATCCCACCTGATCCTGTAAAAGATGTAAAGTCTTTGGAGGAAATACACGGCATATCTCTTGAAGCAAAGCCAGCAAAGGATTGCAGGAAAAGTTTGAAAGGAAAAAACACTATGGATCGGCAATCCTCGAAAAGCAAAGCTTCATCAGCAGCACCAAGGATTACTATAAAGTTCGTGGCCAAAAAGAAAATGAAAACTGTAAAGGAGCCTCAGAAAAAACCTGTGAAGAAGCTGAAGATAAAAGAAATTCAGGATCAGCCTGCAGCCAAGGACATTCAGGGCGACCAGATTTTAAGTGCTCATGTCAAATTAAAAACTG